GTTAGAGGTTACCTTAGAATCTTCCCCGAATGCCATCAAGCACAAGTTTGCTACTTCTTGTTCCTCTTCATCGGAACTTTCTTCATCGCTCCATGTAGCCACATGAGCCTTGTGCTTATTCTTTGATTGACCCTTTTTCTTCAATTGTGGGCAATCATATTTGACATGCCCCCGCTTTTTGCATTCATAGCAAATGATTGGGTCCTTCTCTTTTGGTTCATTTTTGAGACCTTCGTTTCGTTTGAATTTTCTTCCTTGGTAAGGTCTCATCATTTTTCTGAACCGTTTGGCAAACAATGCCATTTCCTCGTCATCGTCATCATTATTAGAATCACTCTCATCTTTTGTGGATTTGAGAGCAACTCCAATATTTTTCTTCTTCTCCTTTTCCTTTGGTGTCTCTTCAACTTTATCAAGGTCCACCTCATCTTCAAGCACCATCTCATGAGTGAGGAGTAAACCGATAAGTTCTTCAAGAGTTAAGGACGATAGGTCCTTAGACTCGATGATTGCCTTCTTCTTTGATTGCCATGATTTTGGGAGGGAGTAGACTAACTTCCTCACAAGCTTTTCATTTGAGATGATCTCTCCATATGATTTGAGACCATTGAAAATCGTTGAAAATCTATCCGTCATAGCTTTGATGTCTTCATTTGGTTTCATCCTGAAATTTTCATAGCTATGCGTTAGAATACTAATTTTTGATTTCTTTACCTCATCTGTACCTTCATGTGTGACTTGAAGCTTGTCCCATATTTCTTTGGCGGTTGTACACGATGAAACTCTTTCGTATTCATCTGGTCCAAGAGCATAAAAAATAATATGGATGGCTTTGGAGTTGAGCTGGAACATTCTTGTCTCTCCTTCACTCCACAACCTTGGATGAGTGAGAGGTTTGATGTATCCTTCTTCTACAGCATTCCATGCTTCCATGTCACTTGCTTGAATGAAGTACATCATTCTATTCTTCCAATAGGCATAGTTAGCTCCATTGAAGAAATGAGGCTTGTTGACGGGCATCGAATCGAGACCGGAGTCGAAGTTTGAAGCGGAGGCCATTGATGACTTTAATAATTGATATAACTCTTCCCGAATCGACTCAAGAGGCGATTAAACCTTCAAATGAGTTAGGCTCTGATACCAATTGTTGAGTTAATCGATCGACGGAATCGGCCAAGAGGGGGTGAATTGGCAATTAAAAATTTCGTGGAAGCTTTTGCAGAAAAATTGAAAGTAATTGCACAGCGATTTACAGTGGTTCGACTTTCTCAAACAAAGTCTACGTCCACTACCTTAGCTATCCACACTAAGGATTTTCCAACAAATTTACTAATTTGTTCTTTCTTTTGAGGCCAAAGAGATAACTTTACAAAATCCCTCAAGAGTATACCCCAACTCTTGAGAACACTCTTTTTCCCAAAGAGAAGATTACAAATTTGCAAACTTACAAGAAAACCTCACAAGGTAAGATGTTTGCACAATTCTAGAACAAGAAAAGAACACTCAAAGATAATTACAAATGAGCACAAATGGTGTTCTTGAAAGCAAAATGAATATTGAAAGGAAAATTGGCTTGATTTGCACAAACTTGGTGTTTGAAGCTTTCTCTCTTGTTTCTCTATGATTTCTTGTTGATCAAGGGCTTCATAACTTGTTTAAATACACCTTGAATCTCTTCTGAACGTTGGGGATGATTAGTGAAGATCATATAGCCGTTTTAGTGTGAAACAATTAATAAAACAGTTTGGAGCGTGGGGGGAATCGGTACCCCCTATGGGGAATCGGTTCCCTAAGTATAAAATTCAAATATTTCGACCGTTTGAACAAGGGGGAATCGGTACCCCCTATGGGGGAATCGGTTCCCTCCGAGCATTCTGGAAATCTCGGAGCCAAACCATTCAGGGGGGAATCGGTACCCCCTTGGGGGGGAATCGGTTCCCTCTGAGCAATCTGGAATTTTTGGCTTTGAAATGGTTCGAAATACTTTGAAAGATTATTTTGAAATTGTTTTAAGATTAAAACTTAATTTTACACTTAAGTAAGGATTAAAAATGATTTTTGAAATATTTTGAGTAATGTTTTGATATTCGAATAATTATATCGAATATACTTAGAAAATCATTTTTGGAAATCTTAAAATTCATTTAACTTAATTTGTTATATCGAAATATCAATATGTTTTCAACACACTGGTTTTTCTCGGGACGAGGCGACGCATCGACTGATGCCGACAGTGACGCTCATCAATAATTGGTGGTTGAGATCAAAGACTAATGGTTCGCATGGCCTCCTTTAATTTCACGACGATCGTGGTTTACTCTTGAGATGACACCGGTGCGGTTATTAACGGCGATGAATGCCACAATTAGCCGTAGGTCGATGAATGAGGGATGATGAGGCTGAAGGAATTCTATGGAATTCCCATTTTTTTGGGGGTCTTTTGCATCCTTCGACGATAACACCTTTTTTTTTACAAAGGTCTATTGAACAATCATGTTCCAACTCCCAAACAGCCAAAAAGTTTGTAAACGCCCCCAAAATTTTCTAAATTTAACAATTTGGTCTTCAATACTATTCCATTAAAATAGATTAACTTAAGCAATGGAAATCGGGGTGTGACAATAAAATAAATAAATAAAAACAAAAGTGTTGGACTTTATATTTAGAATATATGGTAACCATGCATTATATATAATCCACGATATTGATTATCTAAGTTTTTATTGTATTGTTTTTTTCAATAATCTCTAAAATAAATTATTAAAAAAATTTAATTGACACCTGTTCTCTTTCTTAAATTGTGGACTCAATACTCATTAGTAGTATAATTTCTCTTCCTCTTTCCTTCCCTCTAGGTACGAATTGTTCAAAAAATATTATTTTCTTAAATAATTCATATCTAAGGGTTGTGAAATTTTACTCTTAATAGGCTTTGAACTCATAATTTAAAGAAGACAATAGATATCAATTAAAAATTTTAATCACCAACTCTAAAAATTATCGATAAAATCATATATATATATATATATATTAAAACATCAAATCAATATTAGAAGACACGGTGGCTATAACTTTATTTTAAGATTGGGCCATTCCTTGTATTATAATTATATTCTCCACCCTTTTCATGGTCCTACTTGTCATATGAGAAAATTAAGTGAACATTTTTAGGTCAAACTTCAATTTCACTACTTCAAAAATAATGCCACACTTCAAGTTATCAAAACAACAATATAAGAAGGATCAAAAAAAAAAAATCAACACTTACTTTTTTATATAATAATAATTATTAATTTATTTTTTTATGAATTCATTTAAAAGAATTATACACATAAAAATATTATCACGTGCCTCATTAAAATTTTGGATATTGGATTTACATTTTTCAAGTAATATTAAATTGATCGAAAATTCGAACTTAACTCATATTTATCCCTAAGCAACGTACATGAATAATTATTTCAAGGAACCCGCCAAAGACAGGACAATCTTACTATATTAATTAAAACAAACTTTATTGAATTTCTAATTTAATAATTACAACACTTGTCACAATAATTGGACTTTTCTGAAAATGTTTTGTGGTAGCCAGTGATCATGAACTTGTAAATAATTAAGTGAAAAGAAAACATGCAACAAAGTGGGATAGCCTTTTTCTAAAAGAAGATTTAATTTAAATGATTGCGTGTAATTCATTTTTTTAAAGTTATAATTTTATTGTTATTGAAAAATATTTTATGAGCTAAAAATATTTTTAAGCATAAATAATATTAATATATATTAAATTTAAAAGAAAAATGTATTTAAAAACATTTATTACTTTTATGTCAATGATATTTTTAGAAGCACTTTGATATGTTTTCTATATTATAATATTTAACTTTTTTAATATTATTTAAATATTTTAATTTAAAGACTTAAAATTTAAATTATTTGAAAAAAAAACATAAATGATTAACCTAAATATAGTTATGTACTACAGCACTAGCCATACATTATTCATTAGTCATTAGTTTTAATGTTGGTGGTTCATTTTTTTTTCTATTATGTTTTTGTTTTTCCTTTATTTTTTAGTTTTCAATAATTCTAATTTTATAGCATGTTTTTTTGCGGTCATAACGTTTTTTGTCTTTATGACACGTTTTTCTTTATCTTTTAATTCATTTTTGTATTCTTTATTAGTTTTTGGTCTTTTTTTTAATGATTGGATTTGATGTTATATCGACTGATTAATATGACACTTGTTTGTTATCCTATTGACCTTTCTTGTTTTGGACCATAGATTAGATCTGGATGCATAGTTCCGTTTGTGGATAGTTTTCTCACTTTGTTCAGCTCTCATTTGTAGTTTTTCGGTGATATTTCAATAGTTATATCTCCTTTTATTGTACGTTTGTTGATGCAGTCAGTTTTGTTCGTATCAATTTTTGTTTGAATATTTTATTGAAATTTTAATTTTTTTCTTATATAATATTTATATGATCTCAAATGACTAATTTATTGTGTCAGTGACTATAGAAAAACATCCTAATTATATATTATTCTAGGATTTTGATAATAAACCTTCATTATAATTCTATATATATTTTTTTGTTAATAATTTCTATTAAAAATAATTATAGACTAGGCAATTTCCAAAAATGATTTATTAGTCAATGGTGGTAGAAATATGATAGAATTGTAAAGGGATAAATAGGAGAGACAAAAGCTACATTAAATTCAAGAGTGACGGATTAACGTTACGACAGCTTGTGAGGGGGGATTTGAATGGCAGATGCCATTGGTGCCAGTTGTTAAAGGGGACGTAGTTTTCCGACAGTAACTTAAATAAGATTTTGGCATCGTAAAACGAACACGATGTAAACCGCCTTTAATGTCTGAAAACACTAAGTGGAGGACGTGGAGTTTGTTGGTGCCATTGGTTTAAACAACCACCATTAAAATCACTCACTACCTATTCCCCCAACTCAGTTATTCCCTCGAACGGTGGGTTACTCTCCTCTTTTATCCACAACCCTAAGTTCCTAACCTTATTTCTTCTTCTTCTTCAGCTGCTGCTTCTTTACTTCTCCAGGGGATATCATCTTGTAAGCTCTCTCTGTCTCTTTTTTTTTCCTTTTAATTATAGATTATGCCAATCCATTTTTGTTTTTGTTTTTATTTTTCTTAATCAGAATATCGCTTTGCTAAACCATGTTTTATGCTTTATATAATAAACTACTCATCGGGTTGGAGTCTTTATGCTTTATTGTACTCGCTTGGTTTCGTGAATCGTGAGATACTTCAATACGAATTTCTGAGAGATCGCTATCTCATGTTAAAAAATAATAATGGGTCAAATTATGGTTTTGGTCCCCGTTACCCTTTGTTTTTCACATTATAATATTAATACTTGGTGCAAATAACAAACCCTTTCAATTATTTCGATCAAGTATTGTGACTCGTCAGATTTTGTTGTTGTTGATGAAACAGATGTTCTTAACGATTTTATTAACTGTTTAGATTATCATAGAAAAAAATTATACTAATCTAAAATATATCGACTAAATTTAAAATTTTGAGTATGATCGAGTGATAAAAAAAATACTTATTTAATTTATAATAAATTACATGTTTAGTACTTAAATTATTATTTTTGTTTCATTTTGATATCTAAATTTTATTTTTCTCAAAATTATACCTGAAATTTACTTTAGGTTTTATTTTGATACATGACGTTAAAAATTTAACGAAATTGTGACATTTTTTTATAAATAAATTATATAATTTATCACTCAATTATGTTTTTACTTTTATTTTGGTCATTAAAATCTAATTTTTTTTATTTTACTCTTTTACCTTCCAAACTATTCATATTTTAATCATTTTAATTTATTTTATTAACATTTTCTATAATGTGGTATCTTTTAGTTATTATTTTATTAATATATGATTAGAATAAAAAAGAAAGAGGCGGGTTGAAGAGGTCATGAGGGTGAGGTGAGAGATTTGTAATTTAGGGTTTGTGCTTTGAATATAATTTTAAATTTAATTAATTAATATTATTTATATATTAATAAAATAATAATAAAAATTTCATAACACAAAATATTAATAAAATAAATTAAAGTGATTTAAAAATTAACAATTTAAGAGTTGAGTAGTTAAATTAATTTTTTTAAATTTTAGTGATTAAAATAATGAGAACATAGTTGAGTGATGAATGATGTAATTTAATTATAAAAAAGGTCACGTACATTGGTTTCGTTAAAATAAAAATTAAACTACATGTTAGATTAATTTTTTTAAAAAAAGTTTAAGTATCAAAACATATTAAAAAATAATTTAGGTATTAAACATGTAATTTACCTAATTTATTAAGTTGCAAGGTTTTTAGACGTACTTAAATAGATCTACAATTTTAATATCATTGATAAAGAATATTTTGATAAGTTTTATTTTAATTAAAAATTAGAAAAAAAATTATATTAAATTGTGGATTTAATTTATTTAACTTTTATACTGTACTAGAGTTTACTCACCCGCTTACGCAGCATATTTTTTTTAAAAATATTTGATTAAATAGTAATTAAGAGAATTTAAATTAAATGTTACTATTTTTATGTTTCAATTATTCTGTTTTATTTTATTAGTATTTAATCAAATACTTAAATCAAATAAATTGTTAATATATATGTATATATATGTTAATATTAAAATAAATTTTTATATATTTTCTGATTTATGTACTTTTATTTTTTTCATTTAATTTAATTTAAGTAAATATATTTATTTTGACTCGATTTAAACTTTTATCAAATAAAATTTAAATGATAAAATATTAAAATATGATTTGTAAAAAATATTCAGTTAATTCAACTTGACTAAATCAAATGTTTATCCTTAATATATAAAATCATATATTCATTATATAAAATATTACAAATTAAAAATTCTTTTTAATTGAGTTAATTAAAAGAAAAAGGCAAGTTCTAGTCTAATCCGTTGTACCACAATATAAAATATAAAATATACATTCAAAATAAAAGCTACTCGGATGACGTAGGGGCAGTGAGCCGTGATCAAATTTTTCTCTTTAATGGTGAGCTGAATCTTCCCTTTTTCATATACCCATCAAATATTGACTTTGCTTCTTAGTTTGATTTTTGAAAATATAATATTTGCTATTTAAATTTTAATATTTATATGTGATGTGGTATTCAGTTTTTTATAATATAATTAGGTATTTATTATTTCTTTTCATGATGTAATTTTTGAGTTTTTTTTTTATCGTATTCTTTAGAACAATCAAAGCTAGCTTGAAAAGGAGAAGGGTTTGGGGATCAGTAAACAGGTCGTGACTCGTAACAATGGAAGGTGATCTCAACCAGAAGCTGCTAATAGATGGTAAAGAGAATGAAAATGAAGATGTTAAGTTCAAAGACAAGCTATGGACTGAGATGAAGAAGATGTGGATTGTCGCTGGCCCTGCAATTTTCACCAGGTTTTCAACCTTTGGTGTCACTGTAATCAGTCAAGCTTTTGTTGGTCACATTGGTCCTACTGAGCTTGCTGCCTTTTCACTTTGTTTCACTGTCCTTTTGAGGTTCGGCAATGGCGTTCTGGTATGCACATGCTTTTCAGGTTGATGTATATTTCCAGTTTTCCAGGTTTGAAACTTTTGTTTATGCAGCTTGGAATGGCCAGTGCATTGGAAACACTTTGTGGTCAAGCATATGGAGCAAAACAATACCATATGCTCGGGATATACCTTCAAAGATCTTGGATAGTTTTGTTTGCAACTGCCTTGTGTCTTCTTCCTTTATACATCTTCTCTACCCCGATTTTACTAGCTTTAGGCCAGGACGAAGAGATAGCGAGAGTGGCTGGATATATCGGTCGTTTCTTCGTGTTCGTCGTGCTTTCATTCATCATATCATTTACTTGCCAAATGTTCCTGCAAGCACAGAGCAAGAACATGATTATTGCATACTTAGCAGCATTCAGTATTGGAATCCACATCTTTCTTTCATGGCTTTTGACCGTGAAATTCAAGTATGGGCTCGGCGGGGCTTTGTTATCCACAATTTTGGCCTATTGGATACCAAATATAGGTCAACTTTTGTTTGTTACATGTGGAGGCTGTAAAGATACATGGAAGGGTTTCTCAATGTTGGCTTTCAAGGATCTATTGCCTGTTGTAAAGCTATCTCTGTCATCTGGTGCTATGCTTTGGTAAGGTTTCTGTCAGCTTAAAAGAACTGCTCTTTCTGGATTAATTATGAAGTAAAAACATGAAAATTCCATTTTTGTTTTCAGTCTTGAGCTCTGGTACAATACAATCTTGGTTCTTCTAACTGGAAACATGCAAAATGCTGAGATTGCAATTGATGCTCTTGCCATTTGGTAAGTATTTTGGACACCATTTCAGCTTTAGCAGTTTCACTTTGTGTTTATTTTTTCGCAACTAATACGTGTATGTACTTGTTCACAGTCTCAACATTAATGGATGGGAGATGATGATATCACTTGGTTTCTTAGCTGCAGCAAGGTACTATTATGCTTAATGCTTGGACCAGAGCATGGATTAGTGTAGTTTTGTTTGGTAGAAGTTGAAATGTTGTTTGTTTTCCTGGAAATTTAACAGTGTTAGGGTGTCAAATGAACTTGGAAGAGGAAGCTCAAAGGGTGCCAAGTTCTCGATTATGACCACGACCCTTACATCGCTTGCCATTGGATCTGTGCTGTTTCTGATATTCTTATGCCTCAGGGGACGTTTAGCTTACATATTCACCGAAAGCGAAGAAGTGGCTAATGCAGTTGCCGATTTATCTCCATTGTTGGCTTGCTCCATACTTCTTAACAGTGTTCAGCCTGTCCTCTCTGGTAATTTTTTCAGTAGATTTGTTCTTTAATAGATTACATGCAACTGAATCTGTATTCGAGTGTGAGTACCAGGTACGGGTACGTGTCCATGGAGAGTAATATTTCCGTATTAGAAACTTAAGGAAAATGAAGAATCAGAATAACATAGACTAAATATATTAATGTATTAAATAGAATATATAGTTTTGCTTATTGTGAATGATATGTTTTCAACAGGAGTTGCTGTCGGTGCTGGTTGGCAAAGCATTGTGGCATGGGTTAACATAGCTTCGTACTATTTAATTGGCATTCCAATCGGTGTTGTGCTCGGATATGTAGTCGGCTTGGGAGTCAAGGTGATTTTCCCATAACTTTTCCATGCAAATCTAACAGTAGTAATTCACATCAACAGTTTAAATAGTCTCTGTGACAGCCGGTGATAGACCGAGGGAATCTTCCCTAAAAATTTCAAATTTTCATATATTTTAGTTTTTTTTGTATTTTCTATTTATAATCCATTTTCGTCCCTAAAATTTTATAATTTAATTCCCCTAAACACGGTCATTATTTTATGGTTTTGACTTCACCACAACTGATCCTAGTAGTCATTTTTACATTCCATTTCACGTATGCATAAAGAGATTTTTTGTTTTTGTTTTTCAGGGTGTTTGGGTTGGCATGTTGCTGGGAACATTCGTTCAAACTGTTACACTTGTTATCATCACTTGGAAGACTGACTGGGATAAACAGGTAAATATTTAAACTTTCATTGTTTAAAAAGTTAAAAAATCCAACAGGCTGTGATATTATGTAACGTTTATCTGCAGGTTGTCTTGGCTAGGTCACGAGTTAACAAGTGGTTTGTACCAGAATCCCGGGAAACAAACAGCAACCAAGAAAATGGTGCTTGACGGGGCCAATCATCTGTTCCTTCCTACTGGAATTTTACTTTTTTGTTGCTATTTATCGTTTCGTGAAACCATCGACTCAATTGTTTAGATAATTTTTTTCACTTTGATTGTCTAATTAATATTATATATTTTTATATTTTGATCATCAACATTAAAAGTTACTGGTGATTATAATATGTTCAAATTTTCATCATCACTAATTAACATGACCTTTTTTAATTTTATTAAAAAGGTTCACATTTTGTTGAAGGTTCATGTAATTATTTTAATGATAGATGATCAAAATTAAAAAAAATAACATTAATAAATATTTTGCTAAAAAAATTAATTCATTGGCCAAATTTGGAAAAACGAAATAGATTAGTGACTAATGGTGTTGTTTACCCTTAATGTTTTTAAATTCTTTTAAGTAAAAAATGTAATAAACATTTTTATCCGGACCATTTTAAAACCAAAGCCCAATATTTATATCAAATATAAAAATCCAAAAAATATATTTTTATTAAAATAAATATATACATTTATATAATCCAAATCTAATCTGACTCAGCTACTCAGCCCAATACATAAAATCCAAAACCAATGTTTACAACTAATCTCAAATTACAAACAGGCTAGCTTAAATTTAGGCCCAAGTCAAAACTCTATAACCTAATATGCAACCTTAATCCAACTAGCCGTCGTCATCTAAAAGGTTCCAGGGAAACCAACAGTCAGTCTCTTAATCTTGCAGCATAAAATGGCTCTTAATCTTGGAGAAAATATTTGTGTCCATGTTCGAGGTTGGTGATTATCCCTCCCGACGATGTCGTATCCATGGTTTGAATCTAAGTTCTCTTTGGGAGTGCAATTTGCAGTGCTGGTATATTTGAATACTTGATTGTTTATGTTTATGTTTCTGATTTGCCTTCATTAAGCTTTGTTTGCACCAGTGTTTGTTGCTGATTAAGTGGAAGGCTCTTGATGTCCCTTAAGCAAAGTCTCGAGTTTAGGATGGCCTCTTCGTCTAGTGCGGTTACCGGATGTACAAATTTGTTGCTGATCAATTTTGATTATTTTTTGACTGTTTTCTTTTCTGCAACAATGCAGGTAAATTGCAGGTCAGGTGTTACATTGTTGTATCTTGTTTATCGAGTCGTCGCCACATAATAGCAAGCACCGCTGCTTCATTGTTGGCTGTTGTGAACTTCAACTATGTTTTAACTCCAATATTACCGGTACGGGCTGAATCAGATGACCGAAAGGAAGAGGATGATGGAGTTGTAGGGGCTATCAAGTCATTGCTGGATCCTAATAAGAAAACGAAATCCGGAAAAGTGTTACCAAAGGCCTATGTAAAGTCAGTTAGAGAAGTAGTGAAGACGCTTCGTGAATCGCTGTAGGAGGATCCCAAGGATGTCGCAAAGTTTAGACGAAAAGGCGACCAGGTCTTTGGCCAGGTTCTACTCCAAGGCTGGTCCTTCTGCTCCATTACCAGAAGACATTAAGAGTGAAATATTGAATGATTTTTACACAGCTGAAGAATGTTTGTAGCATGGTGGAGATGATCTTTGCATATACCGTGAGGCATAACAATGACATTATCTTGGTTGTGTACATTTGATTAAGAATGAATAAGATTTTGTTTTTTAAAAATTAATCTTTTTAAATTTTTATTTATTCAAATAGAGTTGTTTGAGTCGACTTAAATTTTAGTTCGGAAGACGTATTGCTAGTCAATCTATGTAAAAGAACAAATAATTACCTTCATTGATCCAATTAACTGGATTTTGTATCACTATTACCAACCTAATTCCTATACATTTCGAAATAAATAAAACTAAAACTAAATGCTTGTCTTGCTCCTTGTACTGTCAATAAGTTTGAACCACTGGCTCGAAGGGTTTCATGTGTTGTCTTTATTTATGTATTTGCAACTGTCTGTGACGATAGTGTTGTCTGACGCTACATCAAGGCAAACGAATTTGTCATCTCTGAGTTTAACCTAGAGATGCATCTTGGAATCGAATATCATTTCTCATTTCGAATTCGAGTCTGTGCAGAAGTTGCCAAGTTTTGCCGATGTCCCGGATTTGCCGACTTGTAAATAGAAATGTGTTCCTGTTACCGGTAAAGTCTTCTGGGAGGAGTAACTCCAAGGTAGGAGTCGGTGCAGGGACCTAACCGCAACCGATGGGCGAATGATTTTCTTGTGATACAAAGCCCCGTTAAGGGATCAAAGATCACTTTGTGCAGTTTGGCTTCTGATAAACCTGGGCCTGCATATATCATTGCGGAATAACAAAAGATTTACATCAAGTTTTTGGTTAACATCGTCAATCTCGAATAAAAAGAAACTCATATACGTCGGCTTACCTTGGAATGGAACTTAGAGAGCTGAAATTCTTTGTATGAAGCTCGAATTCCTGGGTGCACACCAGTTATAATCCAAGATTCCTAGTTCTCGTTTAACCTGTCGACTCCTTCTCTCACATAGTAGCTCCCTGTTAGTGTCCACAAGGCCCAATCCAGGTCAAGCTCAGTTGCCACACCCAAGAAGCAGTTAGTACCTATTGCCATTGACATTGGTTCCTTGATCAACCAAATACCCGGATGTCTTCATCATGTATGTCGCCACTCTGCCACAAACTTCGCTTGGATTTCCGGTCACCCATGTTTGCGGCCCATCGGAGAATCCATACCAATTCGCCTCGAATACTAGTTTCCCACTAAACGTGAGTTTTACCGGTTGAATCTGGATGAATGAAAAGTCTCCGTCAAAATTAAATCCAGAAAGTATAACGAGAACATTCGGGTTTAACAACTGTACTGCTTCGGCTCCTTTCTGCATGTACTTATAAGTTATACCAATCGTTTACGTTCCGTTTCGGGCCTCTTAGCTCGTTCCTCAAACTCATACCGACCACGTTGGTGACACCGTTGAATAAGGTGGCCATCCGAGTCAGCCCAGTGGTCCATTGATCCGGATCAAGTATTTGTCACCGAAGAAAACCATTGTCGTCTAAATTATTGCAGCACTAACCGGATTTGCTTATGTGATTGTCAAGTATGACCATCAAATTGTTTTCCCCTAAGCTTGACACCACCGTCTGAAATATAAATATCAATCAATAAATCAATGGCATAAAGTTTGAGACATGTTTATTCAATGCTAATGGGAGAAAACAAGGAGTTGGAAAATCTGTCATACCTGATAAGCTGTGATGAGGGGAACATCGATGATGGAAGGGTTGTTGGCTTGGATTCCGGAAATGGATTTAACAAAGCCGAGTTGTTGAAACGATTGTCTAACGGTGAGGGAAGCCAACGAGTCATTGGTGATGAGAAAGATTGGCCAAGTGTACCTAACTCAGTTGAACCCTATTGACACAATCTGTTTGGCGATCGTATCCATAGGCTGCTTGCCGAGCCCTTCGGCAAGCATCAGTTTTGAGTGAGATGACCAGTTCACTCACGCCAGCTTCACGCGTAGTCCTCCCTAGCCAACAATCCAACGCGTAGTCCTCCCTCGCCAACAATCCAACGTGAATTTGTCGACAGAGGCAGTGGCATGACGATGGGAAAGAACAGGAAGAGGAGGAGAATAGACGAGGAAACAAAACTTGCCATGCTTTTGTTTTGACCAAGGAGGAGAACAGACGTTGAAGGACTTGAGTGACTTATATAGTGGTGTACGTATAATTCATTGTCCATAACAAAAGCAGAGTCCTATCCTAAATACACTTATTAATTATATCTTAACTCTAACATACTTATTTATTATTTGTAATCATAAAATATTAATTTTGAGACCCCAAAAAGGGGATAAATACACAGTTCAACTCCGATCACCTTCGTTATTACTTGAATAAAATATTAATTTGGTTTTGCACTTTACTTCACTCTGTTTTTCTACTGGTTAGTGTACATCTATTGTTTGCTTCTATGTTCTTTTATAACATCTGTTGTTTAGTCTTTAATTTAAGTGCTCTTCAATTGATACTTGAAGTTGGTAAATGCGGACCTCCACTCTCCACTAATCAGTGCATCATCTACTAGTTGTTGCTTATTGTTGATAGGTTTTTTGCAGGTTAGTCTGTTGGAAAGTGTATCATTCTGTTCATGCAGCATCTCAACGATTCAGATCATCGTCGTTTGTTTACAAGATATGCTTAAAATTTGACGTTTAATAACCGAGTTATCTTGAAAGAAAAATCTTTAAAAAGAGTTTAACAGCCTTGCTCTCTATTAAACGGAGAAAAGAGAGCGTGTTTTTTATTCGAAGATCAACAGTTTAAAATATAATCTAATTTGTGTCATTTAGGCTCATTTTAAACTGGCCCATAATAAAATTAAGTTAAATTTGTTAGTTTTGAGTATTCAGAAAATGTTTACATTGATGGTAATCCATTCTGTTGCTTACATTTATGGTAGTCGTGGTCTGAGGCATGTGGCTCAGCAATTAAGTTTCCGATACGATCTTTTTCTGATCGATTATAGACTCATAAAGTCGTCCACCGTTGTTAAACTACCGTTTTATCTAGTTTAACGATGTTGTCGACACATTGCTCCCTTTGGATACCATTCGCAATTGTGATAGGTTTGCATGTTAAACAAAATGCTCAGAACAAATAGCCCGGCTCTTCCTAGAGGACTCTAGTCCGGGATCATGCATTTCAAGCCAGTTCAGTTTATATTTTTTTCTTTAGCAGCTTTAGTATATAGTATAGGCAAGGGTCGTCGAGGTGAGGGTCGTCCCACTCTTGCAATGATAAGATTGCATGTCGCGGCCTTCCGCTTGCCATCGAAAATGTTATGTGGAAAGGGGAAACCAACATGAAATAGTAGTTTTACAGCTTGATTGATAAAAGCATGATTTTTGAAGCTAACCCTTGCTATCTGCAATGCAGCCACACAGCTTCTTTAATTGCTCACCGGCCATCAATGTTTCCTCGGAGTTCAAGGACGACATTGCTACAAAGCCTATCCAAAACGGATGATCACAAAGCTTTGAGTTGATCACCGCAGTCTGCAAAATGTTCAACAAACATCAAATAACCAAACTATTGGCTTAACATTATTAAATAAGTATGAATATTGAATTCTGGATAATTGAATCGATTAATAACATTTAGAGCACTATTACATTAGCAGCTGAAACAGGTGACCTGATGAACAAACATGGTTGAGGCAATAACCTAACGGTGGTAGCCTAGAGTAGCCAAACCTTTCTATAAAAGGTAAATTTAGAGTCCAAATTTCATTACCTCGTACGCATAAGTATTGAAACATGAAAGGGTGGAAGAAGCAATTACATGATTAGAACGTTCGGTAAACAGTCAGGGTGTTACTCATCAATATGAAGGAAAAGCATGTCAATTGTCGGCAAGAAGCAGGGCCTGGTCACGAGAACGTCCCTATAGTTGCCAAAGGATTACATTATTGACACGAGTTGCAGCCGTTTCACCTGAACGTCAAGTTCAAGGTACACTACAGCTTTCATCATTTCCCCTTCCTGTGCATTATCATTGCAACTCGCATCAGTTTGGATAGCATAAACACAACAGTATTGCCACACAATTATGCCATTGAGAAGGAATATATTGATCACAAGCACACAGACAATTTTAAAAAAAATAGTATTTTTATTTTTATTTTTAATATTTTTTATATTTTATAAAAATTAAATGAGTGCTTGAACTTAAAAAAAATTAATTTGACCCGCAAACTTAATGAGAAAAAATAATTTAACTCATCTGACATGTCATTAACCATCTTAAATTATCACGTCAACATCGTCAATTCCCATGTTAATACCGTCAAAATCAACATTTAATTCTATTAGTCAAATAATCAAATTGCCTTTGTTTGTCAGTTTAAGAACAATATTGAATGAAAAAAAGGTTAATGATCACATTGATTTTCTTTTGAAAAAGTTTGAGAGATCCCATTAGGTGCAAGCTTTATCTCTCTTCCATGACTGTTTTTCCCCTTTTTTTCATTTCATTTTAAAGGAAATGATATTGATGATGTAAAAGTATCATTTCTTTTCACTACACGACTGAATTTTACTGTTTTGAAACCTTTTCTTTTCAACATTGAAAGATGAAGCTTTGGAATCAAATTTGATCAGCTAATACATCACTTCAATTTCACTTAGCTGAAGTAATATACAAGCATGAATATAGTGGCGTATTATGTTTTTTTTGAAAGGATGTTGATTTCTTGTGATGTTATCGAATCCTTGTAAATATGGGAAATTCTAAAATAAGACATCCTAATTTAAGACTAAAAATCGACAGAAATGGGATGCAATCAAAAATGTGACAAAAACATAACATTTTATGTTGGACGCAACTTAAAATGTGATCTCCTCCGTAATATTTTCAGTTGCAACTTAAAATGTTATGAAGAATGTTATGTTTTTGTCTCATTTATTGTCGCACCTCATTTCTACCGATTTTTAACCTTAAATTTTAGGTTGTACCGTAGAACTGCCCCATAAATCTTGCTCAAAAGTGTTCAGCCAATTCTAAGTGGTAAGCATCTTGGCTTCTCGGGCCCGGCCTACAGATACGGTTGGTTATTCAGTCAGTCACATATGCATAAGAAAGCTTTTATATTTAAAGCTATCTAACAAGTTACCATAAATGATCTAATTTATTAATAAAAGTTCATATGCTATAAAATTAAAAATAATATTTTCACTGGTCATGTATTTGATTATAGATCTGTAAATGAAGAAGCCAAGAATCTATCTATTTGGGTTCAACTATTAGTTACCTTCTCTGCTTCTCAGCATATTAAAAGCCGGTAGATCTTTCACGCTAGCGACACCATCGAGTTCGAGTTCACGCTTTAACTGTTTTCTTGTTGATTTCAGAACATCCTGTAAAAAAGAAACAAAAGATGGAAAACACTGATATAAATATAAAGCTCAAGAAACATGGAAAATTTTGATACGAAGATAGAGCTCAAGAGGCACTGGATAGGATCATTCGCAGGACTAGTTTACGTTGAAATCCAAGTATGAAGCTCGTTTAATGAGCCATTGTGCATCCATCATCTGAAAGGCCACACAAAAAAGATTGTCGAATGCTGTTTCATCTTCACCGAGTAGTTGCAGAAAACGGATTCCAGCCAGGCTTGATGGCTTTCCTACAGATACAACATAATTAGTGTTAGTTTTCAGAGTCAAACAGCAGACAATTTAAGTATTTAACTAGTTCTGAAAGTCCATTACCTGATCGCAGATTCAACATCTGTACCAACATAAACGAAATATTGATGCCTGCAACAGCAAACGGATATTCCCAATCAGCCCGGTTTCCATCTTTTTTGTGCAACAAACTCTGGAAAGATTCCTGTTAAAAGGAAAGACCAAATTCAGAGTATGACCAACCATGGCTGTAATTCATGCTAATGAACAAAATAATTGTCTGAAGCATATTAATGAAATAAGATACACAAGAAATGCTTCATTACAAAAGTCAGTCGGTTCCCAAATATTCCATATGGTGGATCATTAATCAACAAGATGTAATCTGGGTAAGGAAAAGGTTACAAACCGGATAGTTCTTGGCAAAAAAGATGAGATTCTCCAATGATATGAATCCTCCGCCCCTTCAAATAGTGTCGAAATAACATAAATAAGCATCACAGAGGAATAGAGAACCCAAACGAGACAACCTGGCATACCGAAAATCTGTTGAAGGGTCCGTCCCTTGCCATCCCATGTCACCCCAAAGCTCGGATTTAAGAGATGGAAGCTCCCTGTTAGGGTAAGCCAATCTCCATAACTGCCAAAGAGCATCCTGCCAGTCCAATGAACATAAATGACTACATAATCAGCCATAGTACCATGAAGCATCTTATTATTTTGTGTATCTTCCATTTTTATCATAAGTGCATTACGCACACTAAAGCTCATGGAAAATAATTTTAAAAAATGGAAGAATGATTAACAAATAGACAAGCATACTGATTATAACAAAACCTACTTGATGCTCCAGCTGAGATCCATCAAAGGGGACTTCTAGTCGTTTCTGTAGCCTTTTCAGCCTCTCTTTCTACAACAGGACGATATTCAAAACATCAAAAAACCAAAGATAACGGTCAATGATGATAAGGCCATTAGGCCTTTTAAAGGGACACGACTGAATAACCCCAAGCACATAAGACTTGTGCTATTGGCCTAGTCAAGTACTCATTTACAAGAAAAGATTTGTTTGCTCATAAGCTTCACTTATTTCTCCAAGCTCATTCTCAGGACCAACTTCAATTCCGGTAAAAATGAATAACTTTTCTTTCTTTTAGATGTTTTCTTACATACAGTATTTGTCAGGATCCTATAGTACTTAGGAAAACTGTAACGGCTAAAAGTGAACTCTCAACCTGGCTTGAAGTCTGGTTTAGATTTTCAGTACTCAAGATAACCAGATTATATTTACTAGTTTCTCTTTCTGCCACAATGACACACTTATGAAGTTTGATTCTGTTTATTAGTTTTTCTTTCACAAAACTAGAGCGAACAATTATGGAACTAGTGACAAACGGAGTAGATGCTCATAACTAGCCAATTTGAGCAGCAGAAGCTTCCAGAAGTGTCTCTGTTAACCCCTTCCCCCCACCCCACCCTCCTCTATCCCCACTTAGAAAAGTCCATTCAAATAAAAAAAATGCTTTGGAAAAGAGCAATGCGGATTATACCTGTAAAAGACTAAGAACAGGTGCAGCAACTTTCTGGTTTTGTCCATGTTGGATGTTAAAATGTACACGAAAAAGTTGCACAATAGATGTTCCAGATCCTTGGACAATGTTAGCTGGAACAGCCAAGATTGAACTGTCAGTAACTGAACTGCTATTAAATTCCCACCATTACAAGAAGCTGAATAGAACAAAGAACTTGACAACGAATGAGCAATACAACATTATGTATGCAGCAGAAAGCCAAGTAATCATGAATGCAGGCAATTATATGCACATCAAGTTGTTAGGAAATAAACGAGTACGAGTAATTTCCCTATAACCATATTAGTGAGAATGCGAAATAAAAGAAGGAAAAATAATACCCGAAAATTGATAACGGAGTTCAGCCAATTGTGCTTACGTCTCCGGGCTGCTGCAGATCTTTTACTAAGAGAAAAAATTTACAGGTGTTTACAAAACACTCACTACTCACAAGAAAGCTCTCTAGTATAGGAAGGAAGAAATGATTTTTGGATGATTTTGAAGCTAAATGAGCTAGGGTATTTATAGTTGAAACTTAGGGATTAATCTTGTAATTAACCCTATTTCTATTTCAATAAAATAATGCCTAATTTTGAATTCTAATTTGCAGCAGCCGGCTGCCATCTAGAATATTCAACAATCTCTCACTTGAAGACTGATTTTAATATGTCTTCACACCTCGATCAATGCAACAACATTTCTGGTCTTGTTATTCTAGCATGCCAACTGAAGTTGAACACAACTTCAGTTTGTCCGTGGTCACCGTCTTTGTCAACATGTCTGCCGTATTTTGAGCTCCACTGATCTTTTCAAGTTTCAAAATCCCATCTTCCAGAAGAGATCGAATAAAATGATATCGCAATTGTATATGCTTCGTCCTGGAATGAAAAGACGGATTCTTCGCTAGATGGATAGCACTTTGACTGTCGCAAGACATTGTTTTCTTGTTTCTTGCCTAACTCTTCCAAGAAACTTTGGAGCAAAACCATCTCCTTGCTGGCTTCTGTAATAGCGACATATTCTGCTTCAGTTGTGGAGAGAGCAACTATCTTCTGTAGCTGAGAAACCCAACTCACTGCAGTTCCTTCGAGAGTATAGACATACCCTGCAGTGCTTCTTCTGATGTCGACATTTCTGGCTAAGTCAGCGTCTACATAGCCTGTCAGTATCGTATCTCCACCTTTGAAACAAAGTGCTTTGTTTGTGGTACCCCGCAGATATCTGAGGATCCATTTGACTGCTTCCTAGTGTACTATTCATGTACCTGCTAACAGCTCCCACTGCTTGAGCAATATCTGGTCTGGTACAAACCATGACATACATCAGACTTCCAATTGCTGAGGCATACGGCACCTTCACAATGTGTGCACGTTCTTCCTCCGTCTTTGGTGATTGGTCTTTGGAGAGTCTGAAATGAACACCTAAAGGTGTACTTACTGGATTAGCATCTTGCATGTTGAACCTGGAGAGTACTTTGTTGATGTACTCAGCCTGTGATAACATCAAAATCCCCAACTTTGTGTTTCTCTTGATCCTCATCCCAAGAATCTGCTTGGCAGCGCCCAGATCTTTCATAGCAAACTGCTTCGACAATTCTTGCTTCAAGTGTATAATCTCTTGCATGTCTGAGCCTGCAACGAGCATATCATCAACGTACAACAATAAAATAATGAAGCTATTGTCGAACCTCTTGATGTAGCAACAATGGTCTGCTTGGAATCTGGTAAAACCATTGCTACCCATGAAACTATCAAACTTCTTGTACCACTGTCTAGGAGCTTGTTTTAAACCATACAAGCTCTTCTTTAACCTACATACCATGTTTTTCTTGTCTGCCTTTATGAAATCTTCTAGCTGCCTCATATAGATTTCTTCCTCCAAATCACCATGAAGGAACGCTGTCTTTACATCTAACTGCTCAAGATGTAAATTCTCTACAGCTACAATTTTCAACACCAGTCTGATTGTAGACAGTTTCACGACTGGAGAGAAAATTTCATTGTAGTCAATATCTTCTTTTTGCTGAAAACCTTTGACAACCAATCTCACTTTGTAGCGTTTGCTCCCATCGTGCTCTTCCTTGATCCTATAAATCCACTTGTTGTGGAGCGCTTTCTTGCCTGGTGGTAATTCAGCTAATTCTCACGTCTGATTTGACATAAGCGAGTCCATCTCATATTTCATTGAAGACTCTCACTTGACTGAATTCTCCACTTGCATTGCTTCATCATAGCACTCTGGTTCACCATTGCCAGTCAGCAACAAGTAGTGCAAAGAAGGAGAATACCGTTGGGTTGGTTTAGGAATTCTGGAGGAGCGTCTCAGTTCTGGTGTGCATGGTTCTTCTTGAACTGCTTCAGGAGTGATCTGAACATCATTTCCAGAAATCTCCTCGAACTCAGCAAATTCCTTTGTTTCAGCCTCGGTATTACTTGATTCTGCGGTTGACTTGTCTTTGTACATCACATTTTCATTGAAAATGACGTCTCTGCTTCTGACGATCTTTCGATTTTCGTAGTCTCAAAACCGGTAACCAAACTCATCACCGCCATAACCAACAAAGGCACATTTGTTGGACTTGGCATCAAGCTTACTTCTTTCAGCAGAATCTATGTGTACATAAGAAATACAACCAAACACTCTTAAGTGTGAAAGGTTTATTTCTTTCTTGCTCCAAACTTCCTCTGGTATTCTGCCATCCAAAGGAACTGAAGGCCCACGGTTGATCAAGTAAGCTGCAGTGTTGATAGCTTCAGCCTATATAAATTTGGGCAATCCGGCATGTATCCTCATGCTTCTAGCACGTTCATTCAGAGTTCTGTTCATGCGCTCTGCTACGCCATTCTGCTACGGTGTTATGGGAATTGTTGTCTCCATCTTGATCCCATTGTTTACGCAGAAATCTCTAAATCTACTGTCTCTGTACTCTCCTCAATTGTCAGACCTCAACCACTTGACTTTCAAACCAGTCTCATTTTCCACCATGGCCTTCCATTTTCTGAAGGTATCAAAGACTTTTGATTTCTTCTTCAGAAAATAAACACACCTTCCTTGTTGAATCATCGATGAAGGTGACATAATATAGTGAGCCTGCAAGAGATGGAACTGGGGATGATCCCGATACATCAGTATGAACTAATTCTAACCTTTCTGCCTTGGGAGTCTTGCCAATCTTTGCAAAGCTGACTTTCTTTTGTTTGCCAAAGATACAATCCTCACATAGTCCGACATCTACATTCTTTAGATCCGGCAGCTTCCCTTTTGACAAAAGTGTCTTCATCCCTTTCTCGCTCATATGGCCAAGCCTTTGGTGCCATAGGTTTGATTTTCCATCAACATCTGCTACTGCAATTATATTCTCTAAATTTGAGGTTATATAGAGAGCACCAGTTTTCTTACCACGAGCAATGACGAGTGCTCCTTTGGTAATCTTCCATTCACAGCCTGAAAAGGTTGTGCTAAATCATTCACCATCAAGCTGTCCTACAGAAATCAAATTTCTTTTGAGGCCAGGAATATGTCTCACTCCTTTCAGCCTCCAGGTGGTCTGGTTTGGTAACTTTAGTCGGATGTCTCCTTTTCCGACGATCTTCAAGGTTTCATCATCAGCTAGATGTACCTTCCTAAAACCACCACTGACATAATTTTCCATGATTTCTCGGCATGGGGTGGAGTGGAAAGATGCCCCTGAATCCAAGATCCATGATTCAATCGGACTGTTGACGCTTAGAATCATGGCATCACCTGTCTCCTCTGTCACGTTGGCAGATTCCTGTGCGCCGGTATTTTTCTTCAGTGCTCGGCAATCTCTTTTAAAGTGACCCTTCTTGCCACAATTATAACAGGTAAAATTTTTCTTTCCCGTTCTTGATTTTCCCCGTCTGGATTTCGATCTGCCATGATTTGAATTTCTTTATGAAGTTCTCCCTCTGGACTCCGTGTGAAAGGCTGAGGAGGTTGATGCTTCACCCGATTCTCTCCGTCGAATTTCTTCGCTCAGTATCAGATCCCGAACATCGTCGAATTTCAATTTACTATTTCCCGACGAGCTACTAACTGCTGTAATAGTAGCATTCCAACTGTCTGGTAGAGATGATAAGAGAATTAAAGCTCGAACTTCATCATCGAATTCAATTTCCACTGAACTCAACTGAGTTGTGATTGTGTTGAGTTTATTTAGGTGTTGTGTCATCGATGCCCTTTCCGTCATCCGCAAATTGAATAATCGCCTCATCAAATGAACTTTGTTTGAGATCGATGGCTTCTCATACATACTGGAGAGAGCCGCCATAAGACACGCCGTGGTCTTTTCCTTTGCTATGTTGAAAGCAACATTTCGGGACAACGTCAGTCGGATAACTCCGAGGGCTTGTCAGTCGAGAAGAGCCCAGTCTTCATTCTTCATGCCCTCTGGTTGCTTTCCTGAGAGGGGTTGATATAGATTTTTCTGGTACAGAAAATCTTCGATCTGCATCTTCCAAAAGCCAAAGTCCGCACCATCGAACTTTTCAATTTTCACATTCCCTTCGTCTGCAGCCATCGCTCCCACTCGAATCTGGCTACTTCGGATCGTTTCTGACAATTTGTGCGAACCATCGTGTATTATAACAACTCCGTCGACAAATTCGTATCGCCGACAAAATTTCACTATTCACGAAATTTACTATTCACATGAATAGTATCCTCACAAAAATTGACAAAATTCACAACCAAATGCTCTGATTACCAGTTGTTAGGAAATAAACTAGTACGAGTAATTTTCCTATAACCAGATTAGTGAGAATGCGAAATAAAAGCGGAAAAATAATACTCGAAAATTGATAACGAAGTTCAACCAATTGTGCTTACGTCTCCGGGCTACTGCAGATATTTTACTAAGAGATAAAATTTACAGGTGTTTACAAAACACTCATTACTCACAAGAAAGCTCTCTAGTATAGGAAGGAATAAATGATTTTTGGATGATTTTGAAGCTAAATGAACTAGGGTATTTATAGTTGAAACTTTGGGATTAATCTTGTAATTAACCCTATTTCTATTTCAATAAAATAATGCCTAACTTTGAATTCTAATTTGCAGCAGCCGGCTGCCATCAACTTTCAATAATGTTGTCTGCCCTCTAGAATATTCAACACAAGTTTCTTATTCAGAGCATATAAATTTATTATATAACGAAATTAAAGAGAAACTTCTATGTCTATATATCAAACTATAACCTTGTTGTATAAGTTTAAAATGCATTTTAATATGCATTTAGTCCATCCTGTAAAAAAAATGCCACCAATCAGGAACCTTTCTAGTTCGCATAGAGAACCTAACAATGGAAGAAACAGGTCTAGAACATAATGATTCTCTGTTTTTATAAATTCTCTTTGGAGGTCTAGATTTCTCTTTTCTAAAATAAACACAAATTTCTCCATTAATATATCAATGCATGTCAAGTTATGAAATCATGTGCTGCATAAACAATACCAATGACCAAAAGAAATAGTAATGGAGTATTTGCGTTTCTATTAACTACATTGATGGAGAGAGATCCCCCCCCAACCCCCCCAACAGCACCTTTTATCAGGGGAATCTTCGTCACATGTACAGAAGATGTTGGGAACGGTAGAAACACTGTGCTAAAGTTAGTGCAACAGCACAAAAATATTCATGTCTAGACTCTAGCATGGCCAAATTGCATGATCAGTGATCTAGATACCGACATATCAACACAGAGGCTAGCTTAGTGGTTTAATTTTCAAAGTTAGCCACCAACAACAGAAAGAAACAATTCAATAAAAGTATATTGAAACGGCAATTACAGACATAATAAGCAACAAAATCTCATATCCATAACTAAGAAACCACACCCATCCAGTTTGTCCACTGCGTAATCGAGTTGGAGAACAAAGATTCCCACTGAAGATCTACCTTCCTTCGCTCTTCGTCCGTTATTTCCTTTGACCTATGCCCCTATACAACATCAAAGATAGCAAATTTAACATTTGAAATACCCCAACCCCCCCCCCCCCAAAAAAAAAAAACAATTCGCAAAAAGGTACATTTAGCAAAAACAACCACGAAATCACCTCGGAATGTTTGTCGTCATAATTGCGACACTTCAATAGAGGTTCATTTAAATCATTTAAACCTGATGTTTCATGATTCTCAATGTCAGCGTCCCCACCAGGAAGCCTCTTCCTCAAGTAACTGAACCACATTACTGCTTCAAATTTACTTCAAATCCTTCTTAAACTCTAAAAACATTTAACAAATAAAATAAAAAAGGGAAATTTTTATGCAAAATCCTGAAACTGCTAGTATAATAGATTAAACATGCAAGTACCAGAAATTCAATTTGCACAGGAGAAAAAGGTTGGGCTACAAGTTTCTCGTTGAATTTTTCAAGTAGAAACCAATTTTGCATGCAGAATTGCTATAATAAAACACTAACAAAACAATAATAAAACAAGCAACTGGATTTTAAGATGATGAAGGAAAAAAATCCAATTTTTTACAACAAAATTCTAATTGAAATTTCCAAATTACGTATAAATTCTTGTCTAAAACTAATAGAAACAATTAAATACCAAAAACATTGAACAATGCAATTTTATACTAAAGAAAAACCACGTTGCACATGTAAAAAGAGAAACTAACCCCTGAAGAGCGTTCCTGGGAAGATCGAATATCGAGAAAGCCTTAATGTACAATAAGAGGAAACCGTGGAAGCTAAGCAAAGCTTTGGTTACAAATTAAGGAATTATTAAGAAGAATAACAGAGGCGAGTGATTTTGAATCTCTAAAATTTCTCATCCTCCCCCTCTATTGTTATTGGAGTTCGTTGTGAAAAAGAAATAAAAGAGATCCCAAATCCAATTTCTCAACCTCCTCCTCAAATCTGAAAACCAATTCGCGTGGGAAAATGGAAAATAGAATAAATAGCTTACCCCATCCGGATCAACTAAATGCCATCTATTTGGATCAAGTTAATTTCACAAAGATCAATTCAATTAAAAGAAATAGATTCCATTTCCTCGCCATATATATATATATATATATATATATATATATATATATATATATATATATATATATATATATGTGTGAATAATTATATGTGATATGCATGCATGCATAGGAGAGAGAACAATATGTTTAATATAATTCAATGAAACTCATTCCCATGTTTGAAACATCAATTCGTTTACAAAATTCTTTTGATTAGATATAATTATTTTTTGGTCGATATGTCCATGTATGAATCGATCAATTTTTTTTATGTTTTAATGCATCTTGAATTGTATTATCGAATATCAATAATTTGAATTATGATCGTTTTAGTCAAGACTACACGAAGAAATTTCTATATAAGATGAATATTAGAATTTCAAATATGATCCAATTAGGATCATCTCAAATTTAATTTTTTATGTAAAAATCAGACAATGATTATCCCATAAAAGGCTTTATGATATTCTTCTTTATTTTTCTTCTATAATTTTTCTATTAATTGCTTAGGATTCAAAGTCCAGCTCCCTTGTTAATAGGAAACTCTCTTGTTTTGTAAACCATATTTTCTTTAAATAATATTGCTTATACCATGTTTTCTCTTATAACATTTACTCCTTAGTGTATGCCATGTTGATTGAAATGTATATGAAAATAAAAATATTTTTATTTTGTTAATTCGACAATATAAATATGATTAAATTGTCTTTGTGTATATATGTTACAAATATATATTATATATAATATATGTTTTTTAAAATATTTTATAATTTTTCATTTTATAATGTGTGATAGTCTTAGTTTTCTAATGGTGTTTTTTATATTTTTTTTAATTAGTAATTTAATTTTCATTTTTTGTATTTTTTAAAATTTTAAATTTAAATAATTTTTATTTAAAAAATTAAATAAGCCCTTAAACTTTCAAAAAAAATATCAAATTTGCCTTCAAATTCGATTAAAAAGACTAATTTAACCCATCTACCCTGTCATTAGCCACTGTAAATCACCATGTCAACACATTAGGCCGTCATGTCAACATTGTTAACTGTCACGTTAACATCATAACGATAATCGTTTGATTCCACTTGTTAAAAAATAAAATTGATTTTTTTCAATTAAAAGATCACGTAAAAATAAGCGAAGGATGACATTTTTTTTTTTTGGAAAGCAGCAACCCTCTTTATTTTATTAGTTTGTGTCGTGCTTATACCAATGCCAAAAATTTATAGTTTGCTCATTCAAAGTCGAACCTCTCTCGACATATTTCTGATAAAGCTTATTACTTTGTGTTTAATCTCATGTTGGGATATTGAAATTCAGACTTTAAATCCATCCAACATCTTCTTAACAAAAGGCGATTACATGAAACCTTGTGATAATATTCCATGCAAATCAAGTTAAAAGGAACATGTTGTTTCTCCAAATGGGAGAACGAATTCAATCAGACCAAAAGTAATACAAAACTAAGAACATCAAAACTAAAAGAAGAGTTCCAAATCCAAACCCATCATCAAAACCAGACGACCCACCTGTTTGCTGAACCGAAACAAGACGTGAAGTGGGGGAAAACGTGGACAACAACTGCACAAGAATCAAGACAAAAAGAAGAACAACCAGCAGCACCCCATAAAACCCTCCACTCTCTGAATCTGCAGCTTCAAACAATGGCATCACATACTCCATAACCGATAGCAAAGTAGGACCAAAGATCACCAATCCCAACACCCCCACCATCAAAGATGGCACCACTGGAGATGGCCCTTCACTTCTCATTGTTTTTGTTTTTTGGGGGGAATGCAAAGAAGGGCGTTATTTGTAGTGTGGAAAGTAGGTGAGTATTGTTGGAGATGGATATGGAAATCTCAAGCAGTTTGATGATCCGATTCTTTGGTTTTTATGTGTTAGTTGAGTCATCGGGTAATGTTTGAGTTAATCCACTCGTCTGTTTGTATATACAATGGGATTAAATCAAAGGCTAGTCGGGATATTTATTTCATTTCTTCAAAGATTTAGTAATAGTGGAGGTAGAAGTTAATTGGTGGAATACTTTGCCAAAATGACGTTTTAATCATCAATGTTGGATATCTCCATTTATGCTTTTGTTTTATTATGTTCTTATAATTTACGCAGTCAGAATCATGTTTATAAAAATTGGATGAGAAATTAGATATAATGATGAGAAATGTAATTTTAATGAGATAATTTAGATTCCAATTTTAGAAATAATATTACTGGAATGAATAATTATAAATAGATTTGGTAAATTTGAATTGAATTTGATTATTTGTATTAATTTATTCGAATCTAGAATCGATATAAATTCGAATAAAAATATATACGAACAAATCTGATTGCATCGATAAACGAATAAAAAAAAGGAGATTAAACTATTGAAAGATCATCAGGAAACATAAATCAGAGCCGAACGTCGTGAGAAACTATTCACAAATACAAAATCGCATTTCTAAATTTAATCCGATGGTCCACAGCATAGAAGATCAACAAGATTACAAATAAGTGTTATCTTGATCAGTCACAACGTCGTTAAATTCAATCTTGAGAAAACAGAAAATAAAAAAAATGGTCCAACGATCAAGTAAAAAGACAAAAAAAAACGTGATAGAAAGACATGAAAAAAAAATCATATTTTGATGTAATGTCAAATGGTAATTTTCATATGGCGTCTAATAGGGCCTTGGGGATGAAATTTTTAAACAAAAACGTCGCTTACCAAATGAGGAAAGAGAGAGTACAAATAGTGCGGTTTAGGTTTAGGTTTAGGTTTAGGTTTAGGCTTAAATGTCGAATTTGAAAAGCGGTATTGCCTATTGCGATGGAATAAGCCCAAACTTATTCATTATGGGGTTAGGTTTAGTTCAAACCCAAAAAATAGAGGTTAATATATCTTTCTGCCTCTTCAATTTTTTTGTACAATTTAGCCCTTACATCGACTTCCACCTGCAAATTGACCCCTGATTTTTGTCTGCCGCAATTTGCCCCGACTTTAGCTTTGATATAAATTCCGGCACTTGACTTTGGATATATCTAAATTTGCCCCTTAACATTTTTGTATATAAATAGGGTAAACTATTCGTATGACTACTTAACTATTCTCCTTTTTTATTTTGACCATCGGTTTTAAAATTTTGCCAATCAGACCACTATTTAAGTGTGTCAATCAAGCCATCAACCGTTAATATTTATCAGAGGAGTTGGTGTAGTTGTTAAGATTTGGAATAATTATACATTTAGTCTTTAATATTCACACTTTTTATCAATTGGGCTCCATTAAGGAGACCTACTATCTCCTTGTTGCATCCTGATTCGTACTATACCAAGGTAAATTTTAGAGTGCTTTAGGTGTTTTTGGTTCTTGCTCTTCAGTTGGGGAATTCTTCTACTTGTTGGGCTCTCAGTGAACTGATGCACAATTTCTTTTGCCAATGGATAGCTGGTTGAGTGATGCGGCAAGCTCATTAACCCCATCCAGGTTTGCATAATTGTTTCTAGGTTGTAACTCCTTGGTAAGTCAATCTCTGAGCTCTATAGTTTCGTGTCATCTTATTTATCCGAGTACCAGACTGCTGTTGAGAGTGTACTTAATTGTCCGGCAAGGATGCACCAATTATGGCATCCACCACCCGCAGGCCGTGTACAATTAACTACTCATTGCTCGTGATTCTTCAGGTGTAGTCCAGGCCTCTAGCTTTGCAGCGTTATCGGCTGTGGTTGATTCTTCTTTGTCGAAGGCGAAGGGCAATGCAGCTATCCACCCGGGAGCAGCAACTGGCAAGATGCAACTTTATTTTTCGGACAGATTGTTTCTACGATTGATTATTGAAGATTCAAAGATGATGATCTCGTTTTACTAGAGTTGAGAAGGTAGTACGCCTACTCATTTGTTAGCCAAGCTTGGGCATCAACCTCAACTTATGGTGAGTGTTTTGAGAGGGGGTGCCAGGATGTGTGGTCTCGGCTTGCGCCCCTTGCACCCTCCTATGTGTGCTTGTCAAGTGCAGGTCACCTAGCGGTTTGCTTTAATATTTGTTATTGAGTCTTACCGTACGTACTGTTTTGCTTGGTTTAAAAAATAATAATCCAAGAACAAGTGAGACAAGGCGCCAAGGAACTACCATAATTTTCATATAAACATGTGAGGTATTCGTTCATAAATTTTACATAAATTCTGGTAATGACAAAGGAGATGAGAGAAATGAAATAGTAGCATTAGGCCATGCCATGATGCTGCAGCATTTAATTAAACACCAACAATAAGCAGCACTCAAGTCTCTTCACAATATCATCTTAAAAGGCCAAGATTAAGTTCACATCGAACCTTCAACAGGTTGAGATTGGTACGTACGTCGCCTTAACCGAGACTCCGTAGTTGGCTGCTGTAAAAAGATCTTTGTTGGATCATTAGGGTCAACATATCTGCAAAAACAGAGACAACAGTTTGCTTATAAATCACTCCAGAATTTCCTCACCCTTTATGATTTGCTAGGTTACCACAATTTACTTTAACCCGAAAACACCCATGTCCGACGCATTTGGACATACAAATAGACTTAACGACAATAAGCATACCAGTGTCAGACAAACACCCATGTCCGGCACCCAGATAACATAGATTATGTTGTTATTAAATAGGTCACTTACGCATGTCGCATCATTTCATCAACAGGAGTTTGTGCTGCTTGTAAAGGATCCCTGCGAGGCTGGGGTTCATGATTTACTTGATTATATCGTCTAACAGAGGAAATCAAGTTCAAGAAAAGTGGAACAAAGGTTCCACAGCCACCTTCTTTGAACAAAATCTTGAATGAATGAGTGGAGTAAAGAGCCCTATGCTCATTTTCAGGAACCACCTAGAATTTCAAAAAATTGACACAATCAGGAACTATTAAAAGATTTGCCGAGTGTTACAGGAAGAAAGCAGCTTTCCGATCTACTTACAGGTTCAACTTGACCAGTAATGTTGTTGCAGTGAAATATTGGTTGGTTAAACTTTTCACCATGTACATAAAGCTGCAAAAACATAAATATATCGAATCAATCTAAAAAATGCAGGGTAAAACTATCAGGATTACTTTATCCAAACAATTGATAACAAAGACACAAGAGTAGTTGCAAGGGAAGCAACGAATCTCAAATGCCAGCGAATGACTCGTGCTATTTTAGTCCGACTCTTCAGTTTTCTTAAAGTAATTCTATCCAACACAATGATCCTATAAATATACTGAATAACTTCAAAAAAAATTGAACAAACTTGTGTCGGACGTATACTAGCCGTTTCCAATACTCACCCGAGTAAACATAGCTCATATGCTAAAATTTAATGGTAACAACTTAGATCATTGAAAAATTAACACAAAAAATGACAGATGTGTAGTTCAAGAAAAATGCCACAATCCAAGACCAAAATTATTCATGCTCAAAAAGTTATGCAATGCCACACGGATTGACATGATCATAGATGACAATGACCTTTTCAGTTATTATTAAGAACTAAAATGACGGGAAATACTTTTAGATCAATGCCTTAAGCAATCCAATTTTAGCATTCAAACATACAAAGCTCTAACAAGCCGGTTGCATAGAATCATTGGATGCCATGTATGTCAGACAAAAAAGCAAAACCAAGCCATATACTATACTTCATATCTAGTCATTTGAAAGGTACAAAATAAATTATGTATCCAGAAACTACATTAAGTGAACTCTTAATTTCTCTAAAATGCTCAATTCCAACATTCGGAACTCCTATTCATATTAGACACTTAACTCATATCCAGATAATTTACACCAGACCCGACAATCAACCCTAAAACCTTGATAAAATGATAGGAAAAGCAAAATTCCCAGCCAACGACATCCAACACAATGATCCTATAAATATACTGAATAACTTCAAAAAAAATTGAACAAACTTGTGTCGGACGTATACTAGCCGTTTCCAATACTCACCCGAGTAAACATAGCTCATATGCTAAAATTTAATGGTAACAACTTAGATCATTGAAAAATTAACACAAAAAATGACAGATGTGTAGTTCAAGAAAAATGCCACAATCCAAGACCAAAATTATTCATGCTCAAAAAGTTATGCAATGCCACACGGATTGACATGATCATAGATGACAATGACCTTTTCAGTTATTATTAAGCACTAAAATGACGGGAAATACTTTTAGATCACTGCCTTAAGCAATCCAATTTTAGCATTCAAACATACAAAGCTCTAACAAGCCAGTTGCATAGAATCATTGGATGACATGTATGTCAGACAAAAAAGCAAAACCAAGCCATGTACTATACTTCATATCTAGTCATTTGAAAGGTACAAAATAAATTATGTATCCAGAAACTACATTAAGTGAACTCTTAATTTCTCTAAAATGCTCAATTCCAACATTCGGAACACCTATTCATATTAGACACTTAACTCATATCCAGATAATTTACACCAGACCCGACAATCAACCCTAAAACCTTGATAAAATGATAGGAAAAGCAAAATTCCCAGCCAACGACAATAAAATGCAAATATAAACATAAAATGGTAACAGAAAAACAACATCCATGGGCAACGAGGGACTAATTCAATCAGAGAGTTTTATCTTAATGATAAGACGCCTAAGGTTTAAGTCTCAACATTGGCCTCTCAACGATGCTATTAAAGAAACCCAAAGCAATATCAAGGGCACTAACGAAGGGTGGAACGCTCAATTTGCATCCAAATATTATGATCGAAAACAAAGAAAAGAAAAACAAATGATAAAAATACCAGTGGCATATCAAAAGCAAAGAAATTCCCAACAGGGCGACTGGCAACAAAGACGATCCGTATATTTGACAAATATATTGTGCCCCATGCTTTAACACGACCTCCCTGAGATCTGAAAAAAGCAAATAGGGAAGCTAAATAATCAAATTGAACCAAGAATGCATAGTTATTCTCAGATAAAACAAAAGCGATAAAATTAAAAGAAGAAAAAGAACCCAGGGATCTTATCGACTTCGAATTCAACGCCGTTTCTGACTAGAACAAACATCTCGTTGGTGAAAGGAACGGGCATGCCATTAGGCAAAAGCTGAGGATTTAGGGCCATGGATGATAGAAGAAGAATTTACAGTGTTCGATATTTCTGGATTTGAGCTTCTGATGTAATTGTGAATTTTAGGAGCCGAGCGGCGTGTTTTTTATTTGTTATATAGATTTATATCTCTGACGTGTTGGACTCCTAAGCTTGGAAAATCCTACAACTTTCTCGCCTTCTCCACATCTTATTGAAGCCGACGCGTTACGCCGCCGATTAAAGTTTTGTGGCTTCCGGTGAATCAAGAGATTATTTTTATACTTCATATAAAAATAATTATTTAAATAATATATTTTTCTCATTTAAATATTTAAATTATTTTTCGATCCATTTACATGTTTAACATTATAAATGTTATTATTCTAAGTTTCTTGATCGTAATAACTGTTAAAAATTTATCATATGTCACATGTGACGTTAATGGATTTTGAAATTTTTATTTAAAATAGCTTAAAAATTATATATTTTCAAAAATTTTAATTTTTTCTTAAATATAAAGAAAACTCAAAACATTAAAAAATTTAATTCCAAAATCCAAACACCAATAGTCGTTGCCGTCATTATCGTTTTGATCGCTGTTAGTTATCAAAGAACAATTACCTCAGTTAGCAGGGCCGGCTCTGGGCAGGGGCAAGAGGGGCACTCGCCTAGGGTCCATAATTTTATTTTGTATTAATTTATTATATTTTAATAGACTAAATTAAAAATAAGGCCCATAAATATTAATATATCATTTTCTTATATTAATACAAGAGAGTCCATAAATTTATTTATTATTGACTTATTGTTCTCATCATAACGTTAAAAACTATATTAATATACTAAATTAAAAGCAGGACCCATAAATATTAATAAACTAAATTAAAAGCAGGACCCATAAACTTATTTCTTATTGACTTATTAAAAAAATGTTGTAATAATTTTAAGATTATTTTTTCTTATAATAATTTGTCGGATGTTGATGCAAATGATTTTTTTTCCTAAAAATAAAGTATTGCAATTGACTTTGCCAAATGTATTCATGTCGGCGCTTGAAGTTCTTGAGTTTGTTAAAGCTAGAGATTGTTATCCTAATGTTTCAATTGCTTATTGAATTTTATTAACAATGCTGGTAACGGTAGCATCCGCATAAAGAAGTTTTTTAAAACTGAAATTATTGAAGAATTAATTGAGGTCAACAATATCACAAGAAAGATTGAATGTGCTAGCTATGTTATATATTGAGAAAAATATGTTGGAAAACATTGATGTTGACACTATCATCAATGATTTTACATCAAGAAATGGTCGAAGATAATATTTTTTTAAGTATTTATATGCTTAAATATGTTTTTGACATTTTTGATGTTGTAATGAATTAATATTTATTTAATTTAATAAAAAATTGATTAAAATTCTATATTTCGTATTTTTTAATATTCTTTTAAATTAGGGTCTAATTTTTTTAATTTTATTCCGGGCAAAAAAAAGTCAGAACCGATCCTGTCAGTTAGTACTGATCATCAAGTGACCGACGCCAGTGACCAACTATCGCTTCACTACCTTAAATTTCTAAAATCAAACATTCAAATTCTCAAAAATTTCTTAAATCTCTATGATTGGCCGTAATAACTGACCGTTTAACCGTTTGATCAACTATGGCAATCAACCATTTGGCCACTTATTGACCTTTGATCGTTCTGCGATTGAGCAAAGGCAGGGACAATGCAGGTGGGGATTTGCAAGGATTGCAGGGTTGGAGCCTTGGGGACTTTTATTTTGTTCCTTAATGTTTTTTTTTTGAAAAAAATATTCTTAAAAAAAGTAATTTTTTTAAAATTATATAAATATGAAACGTATTTTTTAACTATTATTACTATTGATATACCTAAAATGATAACATTTATAATATTAAACACATTAATTAACCATAAAATAATTTAAATTCCTAAATCGAAAATAAATATAATTTACACGCTTATTTTTTTTATTAACCCTTGTTTTTATGATTGGAAGTTTCAAAAAGTGATTCCAATGTATAGTTTGTGAAAATGTTTATTTTTAAAATATATAAAATAGAATTCATCAAACATTATTATTTCAGTTGTATCTAAATATTTAAATCATTGTTGATTTTAATATTATCATCACAATAATTAATTTCATCGTTGTAATTATTTTTAATATTACCGAAATTAATTTCATCATTCACCTAAATAAATTAAAACACAACTTAAATCTCTGATGGCAAATGCTAATATTTAATTTTAAATTTTTGAACTCATCAATCAAGTGACCTAAATAGTAAAAGAATATATTGTTTTCCTTAAAATTATGAGTTCGAGTAGTAATATTTGTGAGGTATATATACGTTATCAATTAATTAAAAAGATTTTAAACAAATACTACCTTATAATCATCTCAAACTATTAAACAAAACTAAATTTTAAAATTAATATTTAAACTTTAAAGTTATTTTATATTATATTTTAAGATAGTATTTCATGTAAGACTGATTGCATGAACAAAGAATTATTATCCGATGAACTGTATATAAAAAGTAATTTTATATATATTATTAAGACGATGACAAGTGTATTATTTTTTTTATAAATATGGAATGACTACAAAATGATATATGTTAAAAGATTTTTAATTCTTTGTACTCTTGTGTACACTGTGCTCAAATTCGAAATCTCAAATGATTTTTTTTTATAAAATAACACTTGTGGAATTATATTTTCGCAATATGCATACACAAGTTGTTGAATCTTTGTACTGAAGAAAAAAAATGGTAATGGTTCATTCAAAAGAATATCTGTTTATCTATGAACCGCCATTGTACCTCTCGTTAATGAAGAAGTGTGTTTCTTAAGCAAGCCTTTTAATCCTCAACTATGCCATGCTACTAGATGCATCACCAATCCTCACCTATGTTTACTTGGATTCGGGTGAGAGTGTCGGATAAGAATAAATTTCTAACATGAGCGTTCGGATTTTAAAGCTTTTTCATGTATTGAAACGGTTCTCAAAAGATCATATCCACGTAACTATGTTCGGAAATGCATCCGATACATGTGCTTCAACAAAAATATCGAGTCGGAACGACATAAATCCTTACCTGGGATCTTATGAGCCATACGAAATCAAATACTGCTGCAGATGTCCTGTTCTTGTTTTGTTCTTCAGCTTCCGAAAGGCATATGACTCGATTTGTCGGATTCTTTCTCGGCTTACTCCCATCGATTCGCCAATTTCTTGCAAAGTTTTCATCCTTCCATCTTCCATTCCAAACCTCCATCTAATCACCTGTCTCTCTCTTGGACTCAAGCTTTCCAACACCTTCTCAATATCCTTCTTCATCAACTGTTTGATCAGGATATCTTCCGGTGTATCTGCTTCAGGATCCGCAGTTACTTCCTGGAAAATATAAAGATACTCCGATCAGAAACCAAAATTAGAATGGAAGTATTGTAATGCTTACAGGTTGAGAATGGAGAGGATAAGGATTTGAAGTAGGACAGACCGAAGGTTTGAGATTTTGGTTGATTCCGATCTTCTGATCAAGAGATTGAGGAGCCTTCGGCGTGAGTAGAACAGTGGTGAGCCTCTTCATGGAGAGCCCAGCCGCCTCTGCAACTTCTTTATTGTTAGGCTGTCGTCCATTTTCGCTGTACAACTGCTTTCTAGCTTCCTTCACTCTATAGGTTGCCTCAACCATGTGAAACTGCAAACCCAAGAAAGTCAGCAAAGTTAACCGACTCGATGCCTTAATTTCAATAATAAATACATTTATCAAGAAATATTGTTATAACAGTAATTGCAGTGTCTAATTTATCTTCGAGATTTCCATGGCAAGCATTTAGGAAAGGGACCTATAGAACTTACCGGCAAGCGAATTGTCCTTGACTGTTCGGAGAGAAACTTCCGTACAGCTTGCTTAATCCACCAGTGAGCATAAGTTGAAAACTTGAAACCTCTAGAAGGATCGAACTTCTCAGTGCCTCTTATAAGGCCTCGGCATCCTTCCTGCAAGTGAACCAGAAAGAATAAGACGCTAAAACATAACCTGAAGCTGCTCTTTCTAGCTTTGCTTTTCTTTTTCACGGTTCCCTTCTAACAGGAAGATCGGCTGCATGTAGGAGATTGCATACCTGAACAAGATCTTGGAAATTCATCCCCGTTCCCTGATAATTTTTTGCAATTGACATAACAAGCCGTATGTTGCTTTTAATCATTCTGTCCTTGCAGAGTATGCCAGAATTTAAGCGCCTCCTCAGGGTCTTATGATCAACTCCAGCAGCAGCCGCCCACTCTGCAAAGGTTGGCGATCCTCCGGATCGCTCTGCAAGGTCCTCCTGGAGTTTTTCCAGTTTCAATAGGTCCTGAAGTTGACAATACAAGGAAAAATTAGTTTATCGATATGCCTGTGACAGATTATGTGACTACAGGAGTCTTAGTTAACCAAATGCTTGTCAAATTATCATACCTGTATTCCTTCCGACAATTCAAGTTCTTCATTAGCAGTGAGAAGCCTGGAAGTACCATTAGTCCGTCTCAAGTTACGCAATGGATCAGAAGAGACATCTCGCAAAGCACCATGCCCTTTTTTATTGGTGGAACTGGATTTTACAGAAGCAACATTGGCAGCAGCCTTCTCTGCTGCTCTCGTTCTTCTGGCTTTTCTTTCAGGTTGGCGCTTTGACCTGACTGCTACATTTCTGGATAATTGTTCCTCAAGAAGTTCAAGTTCTTCATTTGTTGGTTCTAGTTCATCAGATTCTTTTGTGGAATTTCGCTCTGAATGATCTTCTTCAAGTTTACGGACATCTTTAAGGCCATCTCCAATAATTCTAGACCTCTTGGCTTCAGTAAATGGGGCCCACTTGGATATGGAAGTATCAGTTACGGATTTAATTTCTGTCTTAGAAGAACCGTAGTTCTTAAACATCAAGGCAACATCCTTAGAAACCTTAACAGCTGCTCGTGCAAGAGCTACGGCTTCGGTGGCGGCGGCGGCAATTACAGCCTCATCACTTGTAAGAAGATTTTTGGTTCCTAAAGTTGTTCCGAAGCATGACTGCAGACATACCAAAGATGGTGAAATTTTAACTGTATCCCATATATCATTGTTTAACCTCGTAACTAGCACCACAGGTCTGTCGTAAAAATTGACTCTTATCACAATGAGATATATAACCAGATGCTAAAAATTTTAAATACAGCCCCAAATTATGCAAAATAGCAAGACAATAGCCGCTGAGAGTGATCTTCGGAACTGATAATATGACCAAAACTCAGTTGCCCCTAATTGGCTTGATTTTAAAAAATCACTGAGAAAACAGAATTGCTGAAATAAAAACACCGCTCAAATGGGTCTAAAGAAAAACCCATGCACTTCTAACCAAATTGCAGTTCCTTGAAAATTCCGGGCTCATTGTCTAGCATGAACTTCATAAGCGATAAATGATTCATAAGTTTATTGAGAGGCAATGAAATAGATGAAGTAAGAAACACATCTATTTTGAGAAGTAAAAGAGCAAACAGAGATTTTTCTCACAGAAATTCTCAATTCATATACTAAAAGAACACAACTAACCTCTGAGGGTGGACCAGTTGCCTCTATATATGTCTGTTCTCTATCTGCAACAACTGTATTCGAATGAGCTTCAAAAATTGGCAACCTTAGCTTCTCTATGTCAAGCATTGCGGTTGTTGCTGTCAATGTTGATAGTGATGTGGTAGATAAAACACATTGCGGTCGGAAACATATAGGTTCTTTATGTCTTACTGCAGATTCAGCCAAGAAATCACGAGAAAAAAATTATAGTCTTGCCAATTAGGATAATGAGCATATAAGAAACATTACAATCCAATGAGGCTTTAAAGCTTTACATTTAATAAACATTTGAAGGAATACGCAAACATAAGCATTACAAACTGCAGAATTTTATACACGATCAACTAGTTAAGGGGGTTGTTGCAGCAGAGGGCATTGGAAATATTGCAGTAAAAAATACAAACAAATTTGTAATGTATTGTTATATTCTTTTAAGTAAGTTGTTAATACATGAATCACGAACACCGTTTCCAATATAGATCAACCCACTAACTGCAAGAGCATCAGTAAACTTGCAACAAATGTGTTACTTAGAAGGACAAAAGTATTATCCATTCCAGCAAGCTCAATTAAACAACTAGCCCCAAAGGAAAGATTAAATGATACATACTGCTAAAGCCAAATTAAGGTAATTAGTCCCTCGTATGCTGAGAAGACAGTTATGTCTTTGTCTCTTACACAAGGCATTAACAATCGAAATGTAGGTAACGCTCAACGAAACCCATCAAGAATGAAAATGAAGTTGGTATTGGCATAATTTAAATTGTTAATTCATTGGATTCAGATGTGAGTGTTAAACATAGGTACATATCCAAAATAGTTATGCTTATTGGACTTGGATGTGAGTGTTTCACATAGATGCATATCCAAAATGGGTTTGTTCAAGTCTTTTCAAGATTTTTGGACAATCCTTGGATGATCACATCCCATACCTCAAGAAATTTGAACAGTCAGAGCAAGCACTATAGGTTGTAAAAGCGACAAAGCTGCATTAAACTCTCTTCTATTTGAGATAAAGAAAGGTTCTATTGTATGAAAATACACAAAAGTAGCAAAAACTGGTCTGAATTGTGGTAGAAATAGAAGGCATTTGCGACCAGACCAGAATCAAATCCATCTGATTACCTACTAGTAACGTACAAAACTTAGATTGAGATTTATGACATTGAAATTACTACCGAAAATAAAGCAAACACGTTAAGATTCAGGTTGAAACAAATCCAAAAGCGGAGAATGATAATGCATCACAAAACTAGCAAAAAAGTCCCTTTTCATTTTGGGTTAAATAGCCTTAACTCAGTCCAGTCTCAACTTTAATTAGTGATAAACAAATGCATTTACGGATAATAAGACTTTACCAAATTCAAAACTAGTAAAAAAGCAAATCACTCCAAGTTCAGTTAAAATTGAATAAAGTAGCCAAAAATCATTTATATAGCAACTAACCATTTGAATTTTTTTTTCTTTTTCTAAGAAAGGCGTTCTTTAGAGTGCGAAAACTTACAATGGTGAGAGAGGTGAGGCCTGAAATTGACATAGAAAGTTTCGGGTTGGCACTTGAACTGTGGCAATAAACAGGACATCCTCTCCCTCTCCTCTATCCTTCCCGATTCCTCACTGAATAATTTAAAAACAAAAGTTTGTTTTCTTCTTTAAAACCCCATTGATAGCAGTTGTTCCTTCGAACAAAAACAACAACGGGTGTTGTTTGATTGTTTTAAGACAGTGTCGAGTTTAGAGGAAACACGGAAGGAGAAGAAGAAGAAGTGAATTTGGATACAGTATATATGAAGAGATAAAAGGGAAACTAAGAATTGCCACAGGGTCAACTCAAGAGAATAATGACACGAACCCTTTTCTTGTTTATTTTAGTATGAACTACACGTTTAGTATCCAACTATCACTTTTGTTTCATTTTGATCACCTAACTATTGTCTTTTCAAAATCATATCTAACGTTATGTTTTGATATCATTTTGACCACTCATCATTAAAAAATCAATAGAATTTCTGATGTGGCATTTTTATTTTTTTAATGATTATGTGGCATTACCGTTAACATTTTAAAGGCGAGTGACCAAAATAAAATCAAAACTAAATATAGGTATGATTTTAAAAAAATAGTTGGATGATCAAAACAAAATAAAAGTGATAGCTAAGATACTAAATGTATAGTTTACCCTTTATTTTATCAGAACCAAATTGAAAAATTCTTTGTTAAAAGAGAATGGTAAATTTAGAGTAACTTTTTGTAAAAGTTTATATAAATTGTATAATTATTTTTTAAAAGTTGATATATGATAGATTCACTAAAATTTAATTTCAAAAAAAAAAACTTTTTATTGTTGTACATATTTATCTTTAACACAATTTAAGTAGTGATTGGTTAAATTATTAGATAGATAAATTTATCAATTATTGATATATGGGATGTGCATATAAGTATTGAATTCTATTCTTTTGTATTCAAGTTAAACATTTTTAAGTAAATCTAATTCAGGAATAAATCTAAACAATCGGTGGAGAGAGTCGTTTCCTTTAAAAAAAATCAAATTCTTATATTTTACATATTTTCTTTTCAGATTCTATTGATAATTTATTTTCGTTCCTTAAAATTTTATAAATTGATTCATCTTAAAATTTTATAAATTCACTCTTAATATAAAATTTTACGTCCAACGATAATCTAATTATTAGAATGGTCGTCAATTTAAGAGTCAATTATTAATCTCTCTATATTTCATCCTTTTTCTTCCTTCAATTTTTTTCTTTTATTTTATATCTCTATTTGACCGACTACTTTTTTTTTATAACTATCAACGTTTTATTTATTTATTTTGCATATTTAGGATTTAATTTGTAAATTTGAGATTTAATTTTTATTATTTTCTTATAAAAAAATATAAGTTTTTGTATTGTTCTGCACAAGTTTCTATCTCGTTAATTTAAATTTTACTTTTATTGTTATTAATGTTCTCTTGAGGGTGAATTTGTGGTCGACCTTCTTATGGATCGATGTTCAGTTCTCTAATGTACCATTCGCTTTTAACCTTTGAGCTGATTACTTTTAGAGTAAACTACTTGAAATACCATTAAACTTTAGCCACTAATTCGTTTATACCACCAACGTTTAAATTTTGTCAATTTTAACACTAACGTTTACTTTTAAGTATAATTATACAACTTCGCTGTTAAATATTTAAAAGCACGATGACATGATAGTCACACGCCGTAACATTGCTAACGTGGATGTCTAAAAAAACCTAAAACGATGTCGTTTTTTATATAAATAATATGAATTTTCTAAAAAACTCTAAAATTAAAAAAACCCTAAGATCCCAAAAAAAACCAAAAATCCTAAATCATTATCCTAATTCATCAACCATTGCCGGCAATAGTACACCGTTGCCACAACACTGAAGTCTCCTCCTCTCGTCGTGGACATTATTCGCCATTCATTTGTCGATCACTTGTTGTTCATGGTTCGATTATAACATTTCATATTTGATGTTTTGAAAATCAATTAGTACATTACTCTTTGAGTTTCGACGAAGAGAGAGTGAGGTAATTGGTGGTAAGGGTTTGGCAACGAAAATGGTGGATGGTGGTCGTTGATTCGATAGCGACAATGGATGAAATTAGGGATTTAATATTTAGGGTTTGGGGGGAATTTGAAAATTTTGAGAATTTTGGGTGTTTTTTGAAAAATTATTATTTTTATTATAAATTATATGTAAAAACATCAATAAAAATTTGAGAATCTGAACTGTATGATATGTATACTATATTTATAAGAACATAATCAATCTTAAGTTAGTTGAGTGGTTAAGATTTAACCTTTGTTTCTAAAGGTCTAAAGTTTAAATCCCACTAAACTCAAATTTTAACTAAATCTTTTTAAGTAAAATGATGTCGTTTTGGCTTTTTTAGGCATCAAATCTGTCAGGCCAAAACAACGTCATTTTGGTGAGACATCTACGTCAGCAACGTCACAGCATGAAGCCGCCATATCATCGTGTTGTTAAATCATTAACGGCGTAGTGGTATAATTACACTTAAAAGTAAACATTAGTACTAAAATTGACAAAAATTAAAACGTTGGTGACATAAATTAGTCAGCGCCTAAAGTTTGATGATATTTAAAGTAGTTTACCTTACTTTTATCTCGATTTTTACTTACAATTAACTATTGATCGAGGTGTTAACAGTGACGAATCAAAAAAAATAATAAGGTTCAATATATATATATATATATATAAGTCACATAACTTAAAATTTAAAATAATAATTCATTAGAAAAAGCATAAAAATTACTAAAACTAAAAACAATTACAATTATTCTCGACGAACTTTCATTCCTTGAAACTGTTTCATTATTTATTCATAATCAATTTGGAGGAAAACGCCTCTTTCTATATAAGTAATCAAACAATCATTTAAAAATTGGTCAACTATGCTATTTTACAACCTATTATTCACTATGCTTTATTTTAAAATAATGTTCTTTCCACACTTGCGGTTGCTATGAGAAGAATCTACATCAACTTTATGAGCAAACAGACTTATTGGTACACTTGATGCTTATTTGTCTCGACTAACTTCATGAAAAGTTCACATATATCTTTTAATATTCGAAAAATATCATCCCTTTGCATTTCAACGATATAATCATCAAGTTGATCATAAACGCCTAATCTATAAACCCTTGTAAATTCATCGAAATATAATTTAGTAAGTTTAAGTACTTTTTATTTATCAAAACAAGAAAATTTATCTAATGGACTCAAACAAGCTATACAAGTCAATAACTTTATACTAACCTTATCAAACATGTTGTTTAACTCTTGAAGTTGAAGATAACTCCAAAAAGCACTTCAATTAGAAAATGATGAATATTAGTAGCATCCAATCAACAATATTAATTTTTTCTCAAATGAGTATATACAACATTCATATTAAGAATATCAATATCATTATTGTTATAAAATAAAATGATTATAATAAAAAAAGACTAAAAATTCATTTTTTTCATTTTTTATAATTTTTTAGTTAAAATGAAAAGTGACACAATATTGACAATATTTTTATCTTTTTTAAATATAAATATATTAAGTCATTTAAATATAATTTAGACATTTATTTTTATATTAATCATTAATTTTAATCTTATCGCTCGTTGATATGAATAGCTAGTTCGCGAAATGGGTGGGATTGAGTAACTGAATCCGATTCCCATGAGCTGGATCCCTATTTGTTTGAAAAGCCGTCCCGGTCTTCTCGATTTCCCCGTATATCAGACACCAAAAGGCCAAAGGCGACACTGTCTCTAGCAGCCAAACATGTTGAGGGTTTGCAAAGGCTTCAGGGCTCTGTTAGCTTCCCCAGCGACGGCGGCGCCGTCTTCAGCAGTCAAGTTTTCTTCTGCTTCTTCGAAATCAGCTTCTTCAAAAGTGGCGGCTCAGAAAACCCCGAAAAAGCCAACCACTTCAAAACCTAAGCCTAAAAAATCAGCTGCTCCTCCAAATGAGACTCGAGCTACTGGGATTCTTAAAGCTACCCCGGTTTCTCCTGCTTTGGGACAGTTCCTTGGAACCCAGCAGGCTTCTCGTGCGGATGCTGTTAAGCAGATCTGGTCCTATATCAAATCCAAAAACCTCCAGGTCGTCTCTCTCGCTCTCTGTATTCTTTTTGCTTCGAATGTAGTTTTTCTTCTTCTTCTTCTTCTTTTTTTTAATTTTTTTTGGTACATTAAATGGTTCTCATGTTGATATCTTCCTTGATTTGTACATGCTTTGTATTTTTTGACTATCTTTTCTTTCTTATATTATTTCATGAGTAATGCATAAGGAAAAAGAAAACGATGCTTATGAAAACGATTCTTATGATTCGTTAGTTTGTTTCCCTTTCCCCTAGTTGTTTGGATGATGCCATTCTTGGGTTCCTGGCATCCTTTTTTCGGCTTTCTGTTTTTTCCTTGCATATTTGTTTTATTTTCTAGTTGTTTGTTAATCATTAAGCTCAGAGTTGTTTAATGTTAGTTGTTCAAGAGAAGTTAAGTTTGCAGTTGCGGTAGGATTATTTTTTATTAATGTTAAAATGAATTGTTAATAAAATGCGATTACAATGGTGTTCATTGATGGTTTCACTATGTCCATAACTCTAAGTTTCATGCTTCCTAAGGGGATTCAACTTGATGCTGCATTGCAACTGTAAAATGTTTTCTTTTTCTTTGTTGTAATTGGTTTTTCTCTGTAAAATGTTTTCTTTGTTTTTTACAACTGTGGGTGTTTTCCAGTTGTATTTAAGGCGACTTCTATTTTATAAGAGAAAACTGGGTATATCTCTGATGAGACAAGAGGGTACATATTAGTTTTTGAATGTAAGAAAGTGAAGATGAAAGGGAAAAGGGGAAGGTTGCAAAAGTGATTTCTGAACTTTGGATTCTTCTGTGTGTGCTTATATCAAGCCTCTGGTTGTCCTTCCATGGCCCCTCTTCTTTCATTTCCTGGTTTTCTGCACTTCAAGGTTTTGTTTGGCTTTTGTGTGGAAAGATGTTATGACTGGAACACTGGGACGAAACTTTATTGTGTCTTGTGAGAAATGATGTCTTCATTTACCTTTCAACTGTTTCATGTAGCAAGAGGTACACCAGCGGGATACTGTATATTTCATAAGAAACAGAAAGAAAATAGAATATGTGAATATTTTTGAATCAGTCTTTAATCTTATAGGGTGACTTGTTCCTTCCTTCGATTTGGTGTTTAGATCTTAGAGGAGGGTAAGTAAATTGAAAGGAGTAATGCTTGTTGTCCTTTGGGCTAAATTTGCTGTCCTTGAGACCGAGTGAGGCTGAGAGCAATAGGTGCTTTAAATATATGACATTTGAGTTCTCTAATGGCTGGTTGTATTTGGTTTTAGTCCACTTTCCTTTCCCTCCTAGGCAACATTTTCACTCTCCACCTAACTTTTTTCCTCTTTATAGCTTGGATAATAGAATTCATCGGAGGATCCTATTTCTTTGTCATATTCTCCCATGTTATGCGCTCCTTACTGATTCAGGAAAAAGATGTATATGAGAATCATTGAGATAAGTTCTTGGTGTCAGTGAATCCTCCTACCCTAGTTGAGTAACTCAAATTGTGCAGTCCATTGTTCTTCCTATAGTTATGTTGCTCCGTGTCTTCATTTTTTTCTTAAAGTACATATCTCCGACAACATTATTTTTATGCCTATAGCTACATGGGTATGGTGATATGACACTACAAATACATGTGAAAATTTTGGAAAAATAAGCATCTGCTCTTGGAAATTTATCTTTAAATTTCACACTTTCTAATCCGAGTAACACAGTCCTACAGGCAAGAAAAGATGACCCTCTTCTTACCTCTGAACCATCATTTTTCACATGGATGGTATGTTTCATTTTTATGCTAGATCATGAAAGCAGTTAGCTTCATATCATGATGTTAAAAGTTGCTGATTTTACTATTTTCTATTCACAGATTGCCTCTGAGATCATATCATGACTGTCTTTGTTTTATGAAAAAAATGTTTAATGGCCTAAACTAAATTATACAAATACTTTTAACTGCAGAATCCAGATAACAAGAGGGAGATATTTTGCGATGAGAAGCTTAAGACCATTTTTGATGGAAAAGACAAGATCGGTTTCCTGGAGATCGGAAAAATGTTAACCCCTCACTTTGTGAAGACCACCTAGTCTATATTCTCATAATAATCAGCGTTCAGTTGCCCGGCAAGCTACATCAAGCTAGCACTTTCCAATGTATGTTCATGTTTTGCTTTTTGTTTCTGTATCTGAAATTTCTGGGGTGGACGTGCAACTGAGAACTTAGTGGAAAGATTTAGTAGGAAGTGGTATCCTGATTTTAGTATAACTGTTTATGAATCTTTGATGAGCTTGTATTTAATGAATCGAACTAGGAGAAACCATTGTCGTCGATGTTAATGTTCAAAATTCACCCGTAAAAGCTGCCTTGTTTATCTGCGAGGCAAGTAATGTCATTTGTGGATCTGAATTCTCTCTATTTGTGTGGATGATAAAATCTTATTTGAGTCGAGTAAGATAAATATAAATCTTCTTTGGGTGAATCAAATATTGTTACAAACATTTTGTCTTCTTGATAAAGGAAATAAATCTTACTTATCCAAGAAAAAAAAAGAAACCCCTTGGAGGACGAGAGTGATATTTCATTACGATAGGAATGCTCTTCTCATAAGTTTTTCATGATCATTGTGTGCAGTTTTTGAATTTATCATCCACTTTAGTCATTCGTCAACTTCTCTATTTTACAAAAAAAGTATATATATATATATATATTTTTTGCCATTATTTGTTTGTACTTAAAATGATTATTTATATGATTTAAAAGAGGGGTAAAGTATACAAATAATCTCCTGATTATAAGGTGTTATTTTGTTGACTTCCCTAATTATTAGAAGTTACAAAATGATCTATCGACTATAAGGCGTTTCGTTAAAACATTGGCGGCTTTCTGATATGAACGTTAACTTGTTGATTGTGATATAATAAAATCTAATTTCAAAATTGTTTTAATTTTATTTTGTGGATCAAATCTTTGTTTTCATTATACATGCTTGAAAAATTATGCTGACAAGTCGTGTTTGAAAGTAATGGACAACGGCGGTGTTAATATACATCATTAAAATATGATTTTGTCATATATCAGTTGGCATATTAACGTCTAACTTATACGAGTGTCAAATTTTTAACAAAAAAATGATTTTTGAATATGAATAATTGAGTAATCATTTTATAAATTTTAATAGTCAAAAAATTTAATAAAATAAAATATTTTGTTTTATAACTTTTAATAATAAAAGAAATCAACAAAGCAATATATATATATATTTTGATAACGTAGGACCTCCCAAGGTCAGGCTAAAGAACCCGACCCTACAAGGCAACCTTCCGGAAGGGCTCAAAGAACCCACCACTCTATCCTCCGCTTTTTCCAGGATTTTCAACCAACGCGATTCAAATCAAATATATGAAACCAACTCATAATCCCAAGAACCATAAGTTTACCAACTAGGCCTGGTACAAAGCAATATTATATAGTGGATAATATTATGATACTTTACCCTTGAAAATGACAGTAATCTTGATAGGTTGGAAGAAACAAACTGTGAAACAATTCATCGCCCAACTATTTGCTGAGTCAGCTCATACAATACATGTGTAAAGTAATTTAAGATGAATAATTAATATTTAATAAGGTTAGGTGCATCTACGCTTGTCAGTTTGCAATCAATTTCGTTTTCTTAACTTCAACTTTAATTATAATATACTATATATTTTATATAAATAAAATATTCATTTCAAGATAAAAGTAGTATACATATTTTAATGTTTTTAAATAAGAATTTAGGTTGAATTTATCAATTAATTTTTTTTATTTTAGTCTCGCGCCATATTAAGTATAGGGTAAATTACTTATTTGGTTTACCATATATTAATTAGTTTTTATTTTAGTCATTCAACTATTATTTCTTTCAAAATCATACATAATGTTATGTTTTAGTTCTATTTTGATCATGCACTATCAATTTTTTTAATGGTGATACTGACGTGACATTTTTATTATTTTTTAATACTGACATAATATTACCTTATAGTGACACATCAATATCAATTTATTTTTAACAACATATGAACAAAACATAATCAAAATGTAACATTAAATATGATTTTGAAAAATATTAAGAGTTAAATATCCAAAATATAAATTAAATAGTAGATGGATAACCAAATAGATTGTTTACCCTAATTATATCAAGATCTAAACTAGGTTCTTTTAAACCCATGTACTCAACCAATATATATATATATATATATATATATATATATATATGCCTTAATACAAAAATAAGTGTATAAATAATGCATTGAAAAATATTTTAGTGTTTAAAGAAATTTTTGTTAAAAATGAATGTTTAAGATACATTTTTAGGTGCTTACCGTTATATTTTTTAATATTTTAATAATAAAAATGTAATTTTTTAAAAAACTTTAAAAACTTAATTTATTTATAAAAACCCAAATTTTTAATGAAATTATAAAAAACTCTAAAAAATTAAAATATCTCATTTCAACACCCGTTACCAACCGTCGTCGACCATAATTGACGAAAAACAATGACGGTGGCTTAAATCCGACGAACTTTTGAACACTTCTCTACGGCAAACGGTGACATTTTACGACGAACGATCAACAGGAATTTGGTCGGGGGTCGAAGCCAGTGCCAATGAAGGTGGCGGTGACGGCCACGGATGGTCGGCCGACGACAATAGAAAGGAGAAAAAGGAAGGGGAAAGGGAAGTAAAACAGAAGGGGAGAGAGGGGGTTGACGTGGGCTGCTGTAGTTTTTTTAATAAAAAAATATTTTTTAATTTTAATTTTTTAAAATAATTTTTTAAAATTATCAGAATATAATACGTGTCACTTAACGATCAAATTTAATGGCCGTCACAATCCAATCACCTAGAAATCTACAATAAAAACGTTAGACACTCATTTTTAACGAAAATTTCTTAAGGCACTAAAATATTTTTCGAGACAAATTTTAATTACTTATTTTTTTATTAAGTGTATATATATATATATAAAAGATCGAATCCAACAAATCAATTTGCATGATTATACACATATAAATTTGGATTTAATATAAACAAAAATTCGTCCAAAATGAACCATCGTCATCACGGTTAAAAAAAAGTCAAATTTCCAACAGAATGATGTGGGAAGCGGCACGATAATTAGCCATACGCACGCCCAGCTCGAGTTTCTGCCCTTCTTCTCCTATTTTTTCCCCTTTCTTTCTGGGGAAAACGAAGCTTTTGGCAATGGCGGTGCAATCAAGGAAATGGATGATACTAGTGGCAACGATATGGATACAAGCTTTTACGGGGACCAACTTCGATTTCTCCTCCTACTCTTCCACTTTCAAATCAGTTCTCGGGATATCTCAAGTGCAGCTCAACTATTTGTCCGTTGCTTCGGATATGGGGAAGGCGTTTGGGTGGTGTTCTGGTGTGCTTTTGATGTATTTCCCATTGTGGGTTGTCATGTTCATGGCTGCTTTCTTCGGGTTTTTTGGTTATGCTCTTCAATGGCTTGTCATCAAACAAGTCATCTCCATGCCTTATTTCCTGGTTAGTTCTCCATCTTTCAAGACTCTTTCATGGGTTTAGTAATTAAGGTGTGGAATGAATTGATATGGCAGAGGAAATTATTCTTGTTTTCTTTTTCTTTTTTAACTTGAATCTTTACTTGTTTGGATTGCCTGATTTCTCTACATTCTATGATTTTTTTTATCTGTTTTTCTCTTTTCCGGGAGTTTTTTTTTTCATTTTCTTAGATTTTTTTCTTCTATATTCAAGATTTCCTGCTATCTTAAGTTTATTTTTTATCTTGTTTCCAGGGTAGGTGGGGGTTTACAGGAAAATAATAAATTATTGAGCTTTACTCCACATAAAATCAACATTATCACAAAAGCTGAAGTCTGATTCCTCTCTAAAAAATGTAAGGTAGTTTAGCAAATGAAATATAAAGCTAACCAACAACTTGATCCAATGGATTCAAGTAAAAAAAAATGAAATTTGGTGCAGAGTTGTGGCTGGTTGTTGAAGTAGTAAGGAGTACTTTTCTAATCGTTTTAAAAAATTTCCTCACCAAATTCTGAACCAAACTTTTGCCCTTAATTGCTTTTCTCAACTAATTCATGACTCACATTTTTTTTTGGGACTCGGATGTGTATGATTCAAAATTTCTTAGTTTTCTATAAGTTTGGAGGACCATAGGGTGAAGGTAATATGGAATTTTCTGTTGAACTACTCTGCTATCAGATCAACTAATGTTTGACATCAAAGGATTAGTTAATCTTCTAATGATGTGATTGAAACCCAACTATAACTTTTGTAGCCAAAGTTGCAACCTACCTTTATTTGCATTGGCAGCAAGGGCTTGTCTCCTGCACTCCAGGAGTCAACCTCAACTTGATACAATTTATTTAATTATTCAACATCACTCTGTAAAATAAAACCAGACAGCTTATGCTAGAAATGATGATATGCCTTTTAAAAAAAAATTCTTCGTATTTGACAAGAAAATGACATTTTAGGTGGAATAAACAGGAAATGAATGAAGTTAAAGGATAACATATCCCTTGTTTGCAATCATTTATTGCACTTCTGTTCCACCATTCTGGACCCTCGAGGGTTTGACGTTGTTGCCATGTCTATATATCCTTTCTATTTACACAACCTGGAGAGGAAAAAGGAGATCGGTCTGACTCGTTCTGCAATTACAGTCGTTCCTTCCTCAGGGGAAGATACTTAAAATTGATTCAAAACTTTCAACTTTATACCAACATTTCAGAATGCACTACTTTTGTTTTTGATAGATCTATCTGTAATTATTCTGAGGACTCTGCTCAGACGTGTAAATCTGTAATCCATTGCTGCTGACACTTTGAGCTAATATATCTATCCGCATGCTTGGAGGGAACTGAGAGAAACATTTGTTTAAGTAATGCATTTTGATTAGTTTTGAGACACCATTTCATTGCAAACTAACCATGTTTGATTGTGAATTCATGGCAGGTATTTCTTCTGTGTTTGGTAGCTGGTTGTAGCATCGCTTGGTTCAACACGGTGTGCTTTGTTTTGTGCATCAGGAATTTCCCGAACAACAGAGCACTTGCTTTGTCCCTTACTATCAGTTTCAACGGCGTAAGTGCTGCATTGTACACTCTAATTGCCAATGCAATAAACCCTGAGGATGACACCACCTATCTCTTTTTAAATGCACTAGTGCCTCTTCTTGCATCCTGTATAGCTCTCATCCCAGTCCTCCACCAACCGTTGCAGTTTCTGTCCACCAATACTATTAAACGAGATTATTTTATTTTCATTATGTTAAATGTTTTAGCTGTAATCACCGGCCTATATCTTCTACTTTTAAATTCACTTTCTTCTGAAGCATTAAGGGCACGGACTCTCCTTTTGGGTGCCTTAATCTTATTGTTCCTACCTTTGTGTTTACCTGGCATTGTCTGTGATAGAGACTGGGGTTTTCGTACTAATTCATCCTTGGATGACCCGAATGACCTTGAGCTCCATAAGGAATTGATAGAAAAGGATCAAAATAATAGCTTGAATATTGAGCCATTTTCTGCAACACACAAAGAAGGGTTTTTCGACAAGGTAATGGAGAAAGGCAGGTTAAAAATGCTCGGTGAGGAACACTCTGCAAGATTGCTAGTGTGCCAGTCGGATTTCTGGCTATATTATGTGGCCTATTTCTGTGGAGGAACAATAGGGCTGGTTTATAGCAATAACCTAGGGCAGATTGCACAATCGCTCGGATACGACTCTAAGATTAGTACTGTTGTCACTCTCTACTCCTCTTTCTCATTCTTTGGTCGTTTGCTTTCAGCTGCCCCAGATTTCCTGCACGGGTACGTATTTACTGCAGATAGCATACTTGCATAAATAACATCAGAAAATGTTGATACCTTGAGTGTCTTGCCAATGCAGCAAGGTGAATTTTGCAAGGACTGGGTGGCTAGCCGTTGCCTTGGTGCCTACACCTGTAGCCTTTTTTTTGCTTGCTGTTTCAGGCAGTGAGACAGCCTTGCTTACTAGCACGGCATTGATCGGATTAAGCTCTGGATTTGTATTCTCAGCAGCAGTTTCCATCACATCAGAGCTGTTCGGGCCTAATAGTGCTGGTATCAATCACAACATCCTGATCACCAACATTCCCATCGGATCGCTCCTGTACGGTCTCCTTGCAGCTTTAGTATATGATTCTAACGTGAAAAGTCCGATAAATGAAAATGTGTTGCAGGAAGCAATGGTGTGCATGGGTAGGGACTGCTATATGCACACATTCATTAGCTGGGGATGCATTTCCCTGTTAGGCCTCATATCAAGTTTTCTGTTGTTCTTAAGAACCGGGCCAGCTTACGACTACTACGAAACGAATCTAAGTCGAGCAGAGGATTTGTAGACTACAAAGTAAATTCCACTCTCCCCTCCCTGTATTTTCCTTTCATATGATCTCGTATTTGTAATGTGCTTGAAAGGGCACAAGGATTCCCTGGCAAATTCGCCAAGAAAACCAAGTAGGGATAAATGGTTCATTGGACCATATAGACAGCCAAAGAGGTGTCCATTGTTGTTCATTTGATAATTTTTTTATTTAGATTTAATGATAAAATGTTTAAATATAATCTGGAAATACTTTTAAAAGTGAAATGGCTTGTAGACTGCTCTGGATTGGGCTTCCATTTAATATTGTCCACGTTATTCCATCTATTCAAGGATGGATCGAGGAGGAGGATGTTAAAGTGCGATCATATTTGAAAATTTTAAATTCTTATGTAGTCTAGGATTTTTTTAATGTTTTTTTATTCATAATATATTTTTACATCCCTATTTTATTTTTAATTTTACATTCATAAATTTTCAATACAAATTTTTAAATTTACACCTTAACATAAATGTTTACGTTCGTCCATGCATCTATCAATGTTCAGATGATGGATATGAGAATCTCAAAATATACAAAGTAATCAAACAAAGAGCTGTTAAAAGGTGTGTAAGTAAGATTTATTGAGTTGTCTCAGTCATTAAAGAAAATATTATTTTCTTTAGAAGTTTTGGGTTTAAACAATTATGTGTGTGTGCTGCTAATTAAAAAAAATTGAATAAATATTATCTTATAATTATCCCAAATTATTCAAAAAAAAATGCCAGTAACTTATTCATACAAAAACAAAATGTCAATTAATGATTTTCATTTAACATAGTTTGTTTTAACAAAAAATTGAAATATTGAGGGATAAAATATTTCAAAAAGAAGAATAAAGAGTAAAATAACATTTTTATAAACATTAAGATGTATTTTTGTCATTATACCTTTTATTTTAGACTAGAAAAACTCGTATAAACTAATTCCAAATAATTAGTTATAATAACAAAATCGAGAAATTCAAATTATTATGAGTTATGATTTATAAAATTTAATATTTTAACTATTTATATTGAATAATTTTTATTTATAATTTATTTATATTTTTAATAATATGAAACATATTTTAATATCTAAAACAGTGAATATAAATTTAATATATTATAAAAGGAATTATATATTATATATTATATATTATTTTTATTTTCTTTTATTTTAAAAATTAAAAGATATTTTAAAACTTTATAAATTAATATACAAAATAATAAAGTAATTTATTTTATCAAAATAAATTAAAAAGTTTAAACCCAAAATTGATATAATAAAGGATCAAATTTCACTGTAATAAATTATTATACACAGTTTTAAAATTAAAAATCTGAATAAATCGAATCGATTTCATTTCTACAAAGAGTAATTAGATTTATTTGATTTTATTTTTATTCATAATTTTAAAATCATAATTATTTTAAAAGTTCAATTATAATTTTTTTTTTTGTGATAGTATATTTTTAACTAATAAAATAATGTTTTAAAAATCAGATATTTGGAAAATTAAAAACAAACTTAAATTTCAGGATTTGGGTTTCCAGTTAATCTCAACCCGGTTATATCTAACCAAGTTACCAAACAAGTTCCAATTTGAATCTTCACTGTCAAAATTTTCATATTCCAATTTCCATAGTAGATCTTCCAAGTTTGAAGCCCTGAGTGAGCTTAAGAAACAGGAGAAAAAAAAATGGCAGCAAAACAAATGGAGGAAATTCAAAGAAAATTATCAACGTTAAATTACCCTCGAGCCAATGCTCCAGCTCAGTCTCTTCTCTTTGCCGGCATGGAACGATACGCTCTTCTTGAATGGCTCTTTTTCCGGTAATTTCAAATTCAACACTTGATTCCTTTTTCTTTTCTTTTTCGGAATTGAGATTCTTCTTTGATTGGTATTCTCATTTGGGTTGAATTCAGGCTGTTAGGGGACAAGTCACCGTTTTCGCAACAAAATTTGCAAGGGGATGCCATGGATCGTGATGAGGAAACTTCTAGAATCCAACGTAAAGTTTTTATCTCTTGAATTCATCATCTTCTTATTCTTCTTTTTTGGATTGGGCTGTGTTTACTTTTTTGTTTGGTATGGGGGAAAATTGTTAAATTTTGCAGATTTGGCTGAGATTGCGAAATTTCTGGGGATTACTACCACAGTTGATACAGAAGTTATCCAAGTAAACTTTCATTCCAAGTGTACTTTGCTTTTCTTCTCTGAAAGTTGCCTAAAAAGAATGCAACATATGTTCAAATATAATGGTTTTATATGGAAATACAACAACTCATGCGTTTAATCATTCAAAATTTATACATTTAGACATTTAGAGTTTAGTTATTAAGTATTTTTGTATCTGAAAGCTTACTTTGTTCTTTGGTTTCTGTCAAACTTTAATGGTTTTTTGAAGCTATAATTTATAAATAGTAGTTGCATTTTCTGTACAGTGCTGGTTTCAGGCATAGTGTTAGTTTACTTAGTATAGTTTGGCAGTTTGCATCTTGTTCTGTGAAGTGAGACACCAATAAACAAAGTTACTAATGATGTTCAAGAGTGAGATTGGTTGTACATGGTTGGCTTGAAGATGAACAAAACCAACAATACACGCTTTCACCTTTTGCGCTCTAACCGTCCAACGATTGAAAAAGAAAATTCCTTGTTCCGATAGACGACTCTGACATTTTTGAGAAATCACTGAGAAGTATAGACTATATAGGCTATCTCTTAAGTTGTTCAATCATTGACTCAATGAAACAATGCAAGGAGTGTTGATTATGACTGTAATTGGATGAATCCCGTGCCATTTATAGTTTACTCTTGTTTGTGTAGCACATCTGAAGCCTTGTATTTCAAAGTTGTGGCACAAGAAATAACACTGTTCTTTCCAGGGACGAGGAAGCTATGAAGATCGAACTGAAATGCTTCGCCTTATTGTTGATCTGGTGGAGGCAAGCATATGTGCAGATAATCCAGAATGGAGGTACAGATGCCATGGAGCTTTAATTTGGTTTGAATCGCTTTAATTTTCAAGGACGAAATTTATTTCCTTATGTTTATATCATTCTTTGTTTCAGTCATTGTTTTCAAGTTTAGTTGGTATCATAGTATCATAATTTTTCTTTCCAATTCTGCTTTGCATTCTTTTGCAGTGTGGATGAGCAGGTGGCGAAGGACATACAATTAATAGATGCTATTGCAGAGAAACAAGCCCTGATATTCTCTGAGGAATGCAAGTTGTTCCCTGCAGATGTTCAGATTCAATCCATATATCCACTGTAAGCATTCTTTTCACCTTATTATTATTAGTTTCCAGTCCACATGTTAACCTGATTATGTTTTTCCTGTTTCTCTTCGATTTGCAATACTATTTACTATAAATGTAAGGAAACTTTCATTTTCATCCTTTTGAGCTTTGATTCCATCTCAACTGTTCTTTGATCAATAAAGCCTGAGATTCATCTGATGGTGATTGTCCAGTAATTTGTTAATATGTTCCTCATCTTTTGCTAAGGATCATCTTCAAGCTGCCTTGCAAGAGCTCAATTGATGATCCCAATTGTGTGATTGAGCCTGAGAGTGTCTTTCCCCCCACTTTCTGATAGGAGCATGTCATTTTATTGCTGACATAGACTCAGGGGTGGAGTTAGAAAATTTAAATTGCGGTGTCATAATTTTAAAAATTCTATAAAGGAATTGACTAACGATGGGTGTCAATATTCTTTAAAGGGTGCCAACTATTTTTAAAGTGGTGTCAATATTCTATTTAAATGATAGAAAATTTTATTTTTAATGTTTTTATATAAAATTTATAAAATATTTTTTTTGACATCCCAATAGTGAAGATGGCTCCGCCACTGCATATACTCGTAGTAGTCGACATATATTGGGACTAGTGCTGGATAGTGGGTCTTCTCTTAGTACATGTGTCTAGGTTCTATTAAAACTAAAATATGAAATTGTTGTATCTCATGGACTATTGGATTACAGAGTTAATTTCTTGCTAGTCCACCAATGCTACTAGCCTCCTGCCTCCTTTAATTACATTTGTTTACAGACCTGATGTTTCTGAGCTGGAATCAAAACTTTCTGAACAGACCAAGATACTCTCAAATCTTCAGCAAAAAGTTGATGACTTGGCATCAAAGGTTAATCTTGCTCCTTATATAGCTCATGGCTCAACATTTTTTAAGTTCAATGTCTGTGTTGAGCCTTATGTGTCTCTTGATAATTACCTATTTTTGTTTCTTTTATTTAATTTAAATTATTGTCCCCATTTCTAGCATGCTTACAACCCTGACGAGGAGTATACAGAGGTGGAATCGAAACTGCGGGCACATTTGGAATCTTTTCTTGAAACAGCAAGATCATTCAATATGATTTACACCAAGGTTCTGACTTGCTGTTGCTTTTAGTTGATAGGCTACTATATTTCTTTTCTCGGTTATCTCCTGTTTTAAGAACAGTTAATTGAAAGATCTTGCAACTTGTACATTAATTCAGTATGCTCTTGGCAGTGTATAATGGTATAACATGGAATGATGTAGCCAAACCCCATTTAGGTGGGTCTATAGATTCGTTGATTTTTAGTTGATAGAATTTTGTGTTTTGATGTCTCGAGTCCCTGTAAGGAAGGTTATTTCAGAACATCTTTTGCATGATTTTCAATGTCTAAATGGTTGAAGTTTGATTGACTTCAAGGACACTTTGGATTTGATCCCAGAGCTTAGCGTAGATGGTTTATATAGCTACCCTTAAAAGGTGGCATCCATGGATTGTGTTCCAATCCCAGTATCCACAATGCCTTCCAGTATTCTCAGGTTGTAACCTTCTTTGTACCAAAGAACTGTCACTTTGTTAGAGCACAAAAACCTTATCCTAACATGTAGTCATACATACATACCATTTGATGTCTTCTGCACTTCATATAATCATCTTTTTCCCTAGAATGTAGAACCTTTTTCATATTTATCTATGTCAGTATATGATCTGGAATCATCTAAAATTTGAAAGTTTTCATTATAGGAAATTCGTCCATGGACGCATATGATGGAAGTACCACAACTTCATGGGTTTGGGCCTGCTGCCAATCGCCTGTTGGAGGCTTACAAGATGCTTTTAAAGGTATCTCAATGCTGATTCTATCATTGTCCTAACTCATGCACTGTTTGTGAAATTAATTTTTTCCCCTTTGATAAGCTTAGCCACATAAACAATTTCTATGTTCGTCTCTTGATTGAACATCTGCCTCCCTTCCCCTTGTCTTCTCTTTCCACGTTGCCTGTATTGTTTAGGAAGAAAGTTTAGCTAACACAGCTATCATGGGAATGCATATGCTTTGGAATGATATTTGGTTAGGGGATTTACCTTTGAAAGTCCTTTTTCCTAGGATTTATGCTTTATCTTCAAACCAAATGGGCAAAGTTGCAGATTTTGGTAGTTTTGATTCGAATGGATGGGAGTGGAATATTAAGACTAGGAGGAATCTTTGCGATTGGGAAGTGGTTCAGTTGTAGAGCTTCTGGACAGACTTAAAGACATTAAATTAATTGATTCAGTGGAGGATTGTTTGCTATGGGACGGTGTAGGTGAGGGGCTGCTTTCAGTAAATGCATGCAGGAAGTCTTTTTTAACTTCTAATGATAATTCTTTTCTGTGGAATAAATGTGTGGATGGGTTTAGTCCCTCCAAGGGTCGAGGCTTTCTTTTGGCAAGTATCCCATAAAAAAGTTGCGGTAAGAGTAGAATTGAAGAAAAGGGGGTTTCCTATTGGGGATGACATTCTTTGCCCTCTTTGTAATCTATGTGAAGAAACTGTCCAGCTTCTTTTTATTTCTTGCCAGATTTCGTGGGAATTATGGAACATATTAATAGCCTTTTGGGGTATTCTGTTAGCTTTACCAGGTGATACACCATCCCTTCTAAGCTCCTGGTCTGATTTGAGGCCATTTTCAACTATGTGGAAGTTAATTTCAGGGGCAGTCTTATGGTCAATTTGGAAGATCAGAAACGAAATAATATTTGAAAAAGGAAAACTGGACAGATTCTCTTTGTTCTTCACTGTTCGGTTTAGACTAGTAAAATGGTTCCTAGCAAAGTATTCGAATATCTCTACTCAGGTGGATTCTTTAATTGGTGATCCTTCAATGGCAGATAATCTTTCGGCATTTATGGATTTGAATAGGCCTAAGGTTTGTTGGACTCCACCTATTGATTTTTTTAAGATGAATGTGGATGGCGCTGTTAATAGAACTGGGTTGATTGCTGGAATTGGGGGTCTTTTGCAAGATTGGAATCGAACTGAGCTTATTTCCTTTTCACAGAATGTTGGTCCTACTCCTATCATTCTAGCAGAATTGAAAGCTATCAAAAAAGGCATAGAAATCTTTGTCGCCTCCGAATGGGTGTCGAAGGGAAGACTAATTGTTGAAAGTGACAGTAAGCAAGCAGTGGATTGGATACAAGATCAAGCCACAGTTCCTACTTTTCTTATTAATTTTGTTAAGGACTTAGTGGATTTTGTTTCTATGAATGATATTATTGTGAGGTGGATTCCTAGGAGCTGTAACTGCGAGGCTGATAAACTAGCTAAGGAGGGGATTGGGTAATGGTTATCTTTGTTTAAGTGGGTTTGGGTGTTTAGCGGTATGGATTATTTGGAGTGTGTTTTATGTTTTATGTTTTATGTTTTATGTAACTCTCGGGAGTGCTTTTAAGTCTTCTGTACTTTGTTTGAATTCAATATATTGAGACACTCTTTTCCTCCTTCCGCTAGTTGGTTCTTAACCTAGCGTAAAGAACCACTAAGAGGGAGGTTTTTAATGAGGTCTCCTATTCCTATAAAAAAAATGGGAATGCATATGCTTGTCTGCTCATGTGTGTAGACATGCAAGAATGCGGTAGACATATGTGTACTAATGTACTGAAAGGAATACTTTCACCTAATATGTTTCAGCTAACCCCTTTCTTCCTGTCACATCAACCTGAATTAGTTGAGCCAATTAGTTATTAACCACTCTTCTTGCTTTCAGTAGTTAGTAATCAGATCTAGATTTTAAAGGTCCAATTTATGTGCTAGAAAGGTGAGATTGATAGCTTAAGGGGAAATTAATCATTTTGAGGAAAGTTGGATGAGTGGTCGATAACAATAGGCAGCTTGGATCGGTCAAATCTAAATTATAGGGCTTGTGGGACTTTGGAATGTATACTTGCTACTTTCTTTGATAATAAGCTTGCTCATAAGTGTGGATACGAAGGAAATTCAAGAAGATAAAAAGAAAGATTTTGAATGAAAAGAGGAGAGAAATTTTTTATTTGTTGTATCTTAAAAATAAAAGAATCAACCTGCTTTCATAGGCTAAGAATTAGAAAAGTATAATTTAACTAGGTATCTTTTTCTTAACCTTTATCTCCTAAGAAAACTCATCTTATCTTTTAAACAAGTAAAACCTAATCCAAAGTAAATTAGAACTTAGAATTTTGGATGAAGAGATAAAACCTAATCCTAAGTAAATTAGAACTCATAATTTAGGATGAACAAAAACTTATTTTCTAACCCTTATTTGCATAGGATCTTTAATATGCATGAAATGGCTGGAAAGCATACATTTTTATGTGCCATGCAAGAATCATCATCTGGATTTATTATAGCGAGAGAAAATATCCTAATATGATGTACATAAATAAATGAGAGCTTGTGCACATACACAGGGAGGAGAAGATGCCAATGGGGTTGAGTAGGTAAGGTTCTAATACTTTGCTTGTAAGGCTTAGGTTTGAACCTCAAAGCCGGTATACCTCTTGGTCGGAAATTTGTAACCCCGATGCAAGTACCAATTGAGATCCTTAGCCTAAACTTCTATGCACCTAAAAGAAACGGGGAGGGCTAGATCAGGTTGGAAATAATGCCAAGTAATATAAGATAAGAATGATGGCATATGATATATCTCACTATCCCTTCATGTAACTTTCAGATTTTATTCCTAGATTATATATTCACATGTGTTCTTCATATTAATTCTGGGTTGTTAGTAAAGTTGAGATTCCTTTGCTTCTGTGGCAGTTCCTGGGCAACTTGAGGAATCTGCGAGACTCTTATGCTGCTCTTGCAGTTGGATCGTCTGAAACAGTTGCTGGTGAACCTTCTCCCGTAACAAGAATTATTTCTGAGTGTGAGTCAGCGTTGACATCCTTAAACTGTGATCTTGGGATTCTCTCGGCTTCGATCGCTCGTGAGAAAAGCATGCAAGGCCAGCAAGTAAATTTATGATGATTGTAGCGAAACATTAAGAAAGTACTGACAGAATATCTCCCCGTGTCAATGCGTGTGTATGTTCCCTTAAAAGATGCACTATTGTCTTTCATTCAGATTTGGATTAAGGTGTGGTTGTTGAGAGCTGGTTCATATGATGCAAGTTTAGGATTTAAAAGCATGGTGATCGTCCAACGATGGAGTTTGAATCTTAAATGAGTCATTGCAAAGTGTGAATCTGACATTCATAAATTTTGATATTGGATCCTTTTGGCTCAATCCATTGTAAGGAAGGTGATTCATATCATCTACAATTACAATTCTGTAATTTTATCGTTTATTTTGTTGGCTGGCTATGCAAGTAGTTTTGTGAATCCTTATATTTCTTCCTGTTGTATACATGCATTCAACTTAGACCAATCAATTAAGCAGGTGAGGTTGGTTTGGACTAATTAGGGTTGCATCATCTAAAGTTAAAATTTTGTGGTAATTTTTAGGATTAGGGTACTTCATGTATTGGTCGTTTGTTTTAGGATATGTTTGTTACTTTATTGATTTTTCGAAAAACGATTTAAGTAAAATGAATTTTATTTTCTAAAAAAAACAGTTTTTGAAAATCATTTTATAATGTTTAAATGATATTGTGTAAATTATTTTTCATTGGTTGGTAAATTTCCATAAAATTATTTATTATAAATATCAAATATAATAGATAATCTGAAATTTGTTCTTCAACGGATCCAAGAAACAAACAATAAAAGACTTGAGATATCAAAGAGAGGCTTAGAAGTGAAAAAAAAGAAATAATTGGTAAAGTGTCGTCACCTTCTAGTGTCAAAGCAATAAGGAGCTTTCTCGGACATTAACTACTTGGTGTCAACCAACAATAAGTTGGTCTAGTGAGATGAGGTATTAGATTCTTAAGCAAGGCCAAAGGTTCAAATCCTGATATTTGTGAATGGAACAAATCGAGTTGGGAGGGTCGCCCTTACCTTTGCAGTATCTGATCAGGATTAATCGGTCAATAGATCGGATATCAGTGATTAATTCAAAAATACTTGGTGGCAAAGAAGTATGTTAAACCATGACTAAGTCATCGGGTATTACTGTTGAAAGAGTTTGAATTAGAAATTAGAGACCGAAAGTAAACCGAGAATCAAATAGTTGATCACTTGTCAAGACTAGAAGAAAACAACAAAGATGGTGAAGCTATCCTCATAAAGGAGGAATTCCCTGACGAACAACTATTCTCGATCATGGATGCCCCATGATATGCTGATATAGTTGATTGAGAATGTCATTGTTCAGGTTTGTTTATGGAACCGACTGATGCAATTCTTCTTCCGTCTCCCTGAAGATCGAGCATGAAAGTATGCGGTATTTTCATCATCATGGGGAAGCTAGTGCACGCGAGAACGTTGCCTCCAATACACTTCATTCCGAAATTCAGGCGACCAAAGTCCTATAGGGTCGTGGCAGACATAGGCCTTCTCAAATAGTGAATAAGTCGATGGCGGGTTGTATTTATACGATCCTGTTGATCAACCGTTTTAAGTTTTTTCCAATCATGTAGATGTTCCCAGCCGACTAAAGTTTAGAGAAAGTGGAGCCATCAGTCGAATTCTAGGCTCAAGTTACTCGTTGTTGACATTCGGCCTCATCCCACTAGCACGCTTCAAATCGAAAATAATCATTGTGAACTGTGGCCGTTGGCCGGGGAAGAGGGTTAGTATCAAGCAAAATATAACAGTGATCAGACACATCAATAAACTCCCTTCTCACCGAGCAGGAAGAATGATTGGATAACCAAGAGGAGGAATCGATCTATTTTAACCAAGAGGAGAAAGATTATTTGAAAACAATATTAAATCTTTAACAAATTCATCTATTTTAACCCCATTCAAACCCGATCCAAGAACCTCTCTTGTCGCCGCTCAGCCCCCATCAGCTTCAACTTTGCATCCGGGTAAGTCTCCTGCGCCACCCTGCTTTAGCTCCCATCAACAATTCCCAAGATGATATTGAACCATTAAACTATTATCAAATGTGGTGGTTAAGTAGTCGTATAATACAAAAAAGAATAAACATACATCATTTTACTATTTATCATATTGTTATATATATAACAAATTATTGTTGACTCAATTGTCCGGTTGAAAAACAAGTTGATGTTAAGCAAAATGTAAATTAATTTGTTGAGAAGCGAATGATCTAAGTTGGTTAAGTGGTTTTTTTTTTAAAGTTGGTTAAGTGTGCATGAATGACCTAAGTTGGTTGAGTGAAAAAAGTGTATGAATTTGAGTTGGTGAAGTGTTTACTATGCATGATATTGACATCAAAGTTTCTGCACAAATTCTATATATTGAGCCTCTTCCATACCATAATCTCTATCCTAAGAAGTCAAAAAATAGAAAACAATAGGCTTATAGAAAATGAAGTATCTTGTTTGTTCATCAGCTTCATTTATTCTTTTTGCCTATGTGTTACCTGCAGCACATTGTATCCAATCTTTTGTTCCTGCCATGTTCATATTTGGGGACTCTATTTTGGATACAGGAAACAATAATCAGCTTCTTACCATTGTACAAGCCAATTTCCCACCCTACGGAAGGGACTTTGTTGATCACAAATCAACAGGAAGATTTTGCAATGGAAAACTAGCCATAGACTTCATTGGTATATTCATTTTTCCTATAAAAATTTACCCTTTTTTAATTATTTTTCTTATTTTTTATTTTTATTTTGTAAACACAGCTGAGGCAATTGGTTTTACCAAATATCAACCAGCTTACTTGAGTGACGAGGCTCAAGGGAACAACTTGTTAATTGGAGCCAACTTTGCATCAGCTGCATCTGGTTACTATAATTTTACAGCAAGGTTATGGGTAATCTAATGTGAACAAAAACAATTGATTTTGCTTGTGTAATATACATAATAGTAATTATTTGTTATTTGTTTAAGCAGAATACCATCTCTTTGGATCAGCAATTGGAGAACTTCAAGGAGTACTTGAATAAGTTAACAGCCATTACAGGGAAATCCAATGCTTCTTCTATTATAGCTGGTGGAATCTATCTTATCAGTTCTGGGAGCAGTGACTTCCTTCAGAACTTTTATATTAATCCTTTATTATTTACAACCTATACAGCTGATGAGTTCTCCAATCTTCTTATTAGCTCCTTTGATAATTTCATCCGGGTATGCTTTAATTTCTTTTTCTTGTTGACCACCAAACAAATTATATAATGATATTATGTTCCAAATTTGTGACAGAAATTGTATGAGCTTGGAGCAAGGAGAATAGGAGTTACAAGTTTGCCACCACTTGGGTGCTTACCTGCAGCCATCACAAGTTTCGGGTTCGGTAGAAATCAGTGCGTGGCTCGGTTGAACAGCAATGCATTTTCATTTAACAACAAACTCAATGATCGGTGTCAAAGCTTGAAGAGCATGTTTTCTGAGCTGAATTTAGTTGTGTTAGACATCTACACCCCTCTCTACGACCTTATCATGAACCCTGCAGACAAGGGTTTTTCGGAGGTAAGAAGAGGTTGTTGCGGGACTGGATTGCTTGAAACCTCTATTCTGTGTAATCAACACTCCATCGGAACATGTGCCAATGCATCTGAATATGTATTTTGGGATGCTTTCCATCCATCTGAAACTACAAATCAGCTTTTAGCTACTCAACTCCAATCACAAGGAAGTTCTCTCCTTTCTAATCTGCACTGACTTTCTATTTACGGTTTTTAGTTAGCTTAAACTTTAGGCAATTGTATTGAATTTCTACAAATAAGTATCATTATAACTTGTTATTCAACAATAAAGATCTAAATGCATTTCATGAAATGTGTGAGGGACTAACTTAGAAATTCAAGAAAACTAATAGTTTGAGATTTAAGAAAACAAGGGTATCAATACTTAATCATGGTACTGATATCAGTTCTAGCTTTAACCTTATGAGAGATGAGTAAAAATATTAGGTATCAAAATCCTCTACATAAACTTTAGAGAAAATCGCCTCAGTGACCAAAAATGCCTTATAATATACGATTTTAACCAACTTTTTTTGGATTTGCCAAAATGACCAACAAAATCGCAACGCGAAATAAAAATCGCAACGCGATCCCCAGAATCGCAAATCAGTTTCCAAAATCGCAACGCGATTCTTGACAATCGCAATGCGATAGTACAAATTCGCATTGCGATTTTCCAGAATCGCAACGCGAATATGAAAATCGCAACGCGAACACATAAATCGCAACGCGTATCCGTAAATCGCAACATGTATCCGTAAATCGCAACGCGTATCCGTAAATCGCAATGCGTATCCGTATATCGCAACGCGTATCCGTAAATCGCAACGATAATCAGTAAATCGCAACGCGTATCCGTAAATCGCAACGCGATTTTTAAAGCGCCATTATAATCGCTACGCGTATTTTATTTTCAAATTACAAAAACGAATATTAAGACAAAATCCCGTAATCGCAACTCATAACCTAAAACCTAAAATCACAACTCAGTCTTATCTCCATCTCTCACTCTCTACGGCGAAATCCGTCCCCATCTCCGAAGATTTCCGTCCCCATCTCCGGCGAAATCCCTCACAACCATTCACGGTCAGAAATCCCTCACAATATTCAGAAATGGAAAATCAACCTCCGAGGGTTAGTTTTTTTAATTATTTTTATTTTGAAATTTGTGCATTATTGTAGGTTTTTTATATTGAAACTGATGATATGTTTACTGGTCATTTCAATAATAGATTAACCATTTCACTTAGATTTCATTTCGCGTTATGATTCTCTCGTTGCGATTTTCATTTCGCGTTGCTATTCTCTCGTTGCGATTTTCAAGTTAGTATTTGTCTTTGTCTTTGTTCTGTCTTTTGGTTGAAGTAATGCAATCCATTCAAGTTTCAATTTGCAGAAGAGTCGCAACGAGATAAATGAAAATCGCAACGTGAAAATGACTATCTGCAACGAGAAAAATGAAAATCGCAACGAGAGAATCGTAACGCGAAATGAAAATCGCAACGAGAGAATCGCAACGCGAAACCAAAATCGCATTGCGATTTTCATTTCGCGTTGCGATTCTCTCGTTGCGATTTTCATTTCGCGTTGCGATTCTCTCGTTGCGATTTTCATTTCTCTCGTTGCGACAGTCATTCTCTCGTTGCGATTTTCATTTCAACCAAAAGACAAAACAGTGTTGCAAATTTTAGTTTCAAGAATAAACTACTACTTTTTATGTTTATTGTTTTTGGTATATCTTCACAGTGTAGTTTTTGGTATATCTAACTTGGTATGTTTATTTTTTTGTAGAAATTTTTTCGGCTTCATTGACATTAAGGAATAAAGTTAGCCTAGCCACTACAATTGCTTCGAAGCTTTCACCTGCACAAAGACAATTGTTTGAGGAAACCTGCTTCGGGCCATGGCTGAGAGTACAGCATCCGGGTGGAGATGCTAATTTGACCCATTTGTGGCTTCAGACCATGACATCAAATCTACCCGACAGTATACAACGTGGTGAGGAAGAGATATGGTTTCATTTTCCACCAGCGTATACTTGTTTTGGGCGGAAGGAGTTCTGCTTAATCACTGGTCTACGATTCGGACACGATGATGTAGGCCGGTACACTCGTCATATCGCCCGCCCATCATGGTTATCCCGGGTTTTTCCGGATGAGTCAATGGAGAAGCCGAACCTACACGTCGACGACCTGAAAAAATTGTTTAATAAGAAAGCTGGTTTCACTCGGATGGATGACGTCGAGGTTGTCCGAGTATGCCTTCTACTACTTGTGTATGCCGGCTTTTTAGGCAGAGAGGCCAGACAACCTATTCCTCGGGAGCTAATAATATTGGTAGAGGACCTGAATGCATGGAATCTGTTTCCGTGGGGTTCGTATATATGGAAAGCTACCTGGACTAAGTTGTCTACTGCCTTTGATGACCGCAAAAGTTTGCGTGGCGATGGGTCGAAATACACTTTGTCAGGCTTTGTTTGGGCCTTTAAGGTAAGAATTTCTATATAATGTTTCTAAAATTATAATTAATTATTTAGCAATTACTAATTTTGTTATTATATTGTTTGTAGATTTGGATATTCGAGGCTTTCCCCAGCATGCGTACATATGCAATAAAAACGTCAAATGATATTCCCAGGGCTATTTCCTGGAAGAGGAAAAATCTGTTGGATTGGGAAGACTTAATACCATATGCGACAATAAATAATGTAAGTTAACACAAATACTTTCATATAATATATAAACAAGTTATTAATAGTAGACGTTTAACTTTGTTTGAGTTTTTATATTGTTAGGAGGCCAACATTCCATTACAAAGACTGACACCCACAGAGGAAGAGCTTGCCACTGATTGGTGGCAAGCTAGTCAGAGTGTTTTTGATGGCACGGATGATGAGCAGCATCTACTTCCTCCAATTCGAGAGCCATCACCTCACCCAGAGCCATCACCCGATCGACCCGACTATACACCTCTAGAACGAGAGCCATCACCTATCCCGTCACATCATCGAGCCTCTTCTCCACCATCACCTCATGATAGGCGACCGGTAAAGAGGCCACGACATTTATCTCCTTGTTCTCCACCTCCACGGGATGAGTTACGTGATGAGGTCAATGCCTTGCGTGAGGAGATCGGTACTCTACGCGATAACGATGGTGCATGGCGTGTGGAGGTGTCAACTCTACGTGGTGAGGTTGCCGCTCTACGTGAGATGATAGTATCGTTGCAGAATGAGGTTCATACTCTACGCAACGAGGTAAGTTTAAGATTTTCCATATTTAACTTAATGATAAATTTACTCGTAATTTCACTTAGATTAGCCATTTCACTTAGATTGCTTAGTAAATTTATTCGGTTGCTGCCAATTCTGCTAAACTGTGTATTCTTTAACACTGTGAAATAGTATTTGTCTTTGTTTTGTCTTTTGGTTGAAAGTAAATTTGTTCGGTTGCTGCCAATTCTGCTAAACTGTGTATTCTTTAACACTGTGAAATAGTATTTGTCTTTGTTTTGTCTTTTGGTTGAAAGTAAATTTGTTCGGTTGCTGCCAATTCTGCTAAACTGTGTATTCTTTAACACTGTGAAATAGTATTTGTCTTTGTTTTGTCTTTGTTTTGTCTTTTGGTTGAAAGTAAATTTGTTCGGTTGCTGCCAATTCTGCTAAACTGTGTATTCTTTAACACTGTGAAATAGTATTTGTCTTTGTTTTGTCTTTTGGTTGAAAGTAAATTTGTTCGGTTGCTGCCAATTCTGCTAAACTAATACCCTGAAGTCAGTATTTGTCTTTGTTTTGTCTATAGGTTGAAGTAATGCAATCCATTCAAGTTTCAATTTGCAGAAGAAGAAATAGTTTACTTTCGCAACACGAAACTTAAAATCGCAACGCGAAATGAAAATCGCAACGACAGAATCGCAACGCGAAACCAAAATCGCAACGACAAAATCGCAACGCGAAACCAAAATCGCATTGCAATTTTCATTTCGCGTTGCGATTCTCTCGTTGCGATTTTCATTTCGCATTGCGATTCTGTCGTTGCGATTTTCATTTCGCGTTGCGATTTTTGTTTCGCGTTGCGATTTTGGTTTCTCGTTGCGATTCTCATTTCGCGTTGCGATTTTAAGTTTCGTGTTGCGAAAGTAAACTATTTCTTCTTCTGCAAATTGAAACTTGAATGGATTGCATTACTTCAACCAATAGACAAAACAAAGACAAATACTAACTTCAGGGTATTAGTTTGAAACATATTTTTCTTTGTTATCTGATGCATTTTGTGAACTATGATAGAATAATGACTTGGGTGAATACAATGCAAGTTTGAAACATATTTGTCTTTGTTTTCACTGTTTAAATATCATGTCTGTTTATTTACTGATTTTTGTATTTAATTATTTAGCGGCCCGATAGAGTGGATGCTTTACGTCGGGTTATGCTTGCACGACGGAGTTCACGCATCAGACAGCGTGCACGTGCTATTAAGTCTCCGTACACCCCAATAGTGCGAAGACACCGCAAGAAGAAGCCCGACTCGCCTGTCATCCCTCAAGAGTCCACTCCTATCGTTGAAGAGGCCCCCTATCATTCCTCGAGAGTCCCCTCCCACCGTTCAAGAGGCCACTGTCATCATTGAAGAGGTCCCTCCCACCATTCAAGAGCCCGATTCACATGGCGTCATATGTAGGCTTCTTGAGAAACCCTCTGACGTGCCGGACATGATGGATTCAAGTTGGCTCTCGTATGAGTTACCGGCCAGTACCATACCGGTATCTGAAGAGGAGAGGAAAGAACTACCAGACACAATTCTGGATAACACCCTTTGGGCTAAGACCGCAGTTGATTTTTATCTACATGAGCTGAGCCAGGGGTGTTTCACTGACATATGCAAGCTCACCGATGATATCTATTTGTTGCTTGATCGGTCTTGGTGGGGCGTATTATTAGGGGTCGAAGACAATGGCTATTTCGATGGGGGGGTAAGTCTTATATTTTTCTTATATTTCAATTTGATTAATTTTTTTTAAATTTATGTAAGTCACTAATATATGTCTTTTTTGTAAAACAGCATATCGATGCGTGGGTGACACGTCTTCTAATAATAAGAAAACTTAAGAAAAATAAAAATATACGATATACAATTATGCCGACGTCTTTTAACGCCGTTCACTTGAAGAATGCACGAGATGAATCATTTGATTTGG